ACCGGCACCTGCAGTGGCCTGTCGCTGGGTGCGACCGTCATGTCGGAATCCGAGTCAGAAAGCTGTCCATCTTCCATGTCGCCTGCCTCCTGCGCCATGTTCCCGCGGCGCGGCGAGTTAGGAGAGCACTTCCGGTGCGGTGGCGGGAAGGTCCGCTGGGTGCTGGCATCTCGGGCGCCCCCGCGAGGGGCTGCTCCGGCCTTGGCAGCCTTGGAGTGAGAGAGTGAGTGAGTGAGTGAGTGAGTGAGTGAGTGTGTGTGTGTGGCGAGGCTGAGAGGTCTCTTGCTGGGACACAGGCTCAAGGCTGACGGATACGCACGATGACTACAAATTAGTCACTTGCACTACTCCAAAAATATGTGTCCCCTGCTTCAACATGACTTTGGTGCGTTTTCCTCCAAAGTTGGTTTTCGAGCAATCCTAAATCTGTGCATAGACAGAGGTCATCGGGGATTCCTCCTTGGCCTCACCCTTTCACCTGGATGCCAGACCTTCGGCTTCTATTCTTGCTTCGGCGCAATCTAAGCTATTACCTAAGGTCACTGTCCTGCTAACAACTCCCGGGGTCTCCCCTTCACACCATAAGGCCGAGCCCTCGGCACCGCAAACAGGGCCCCTGGCCTGCGCTTGTGTCCTCTCCAGCTTTCCAGCTCCTCAGCCACAGTGACGCTGCTCACGTAGTTCCTCAGGCATCTTTGTTCTTTCCAGGCTCAAGGCCTTTGCAGTTGCTGTTTCCGCTGTCAGATGGCCCTCTCCAACGCCCTGAACACTCTATTTTTTGCAGATGATTCAGATTTCTGATTGAATGTCATCTTCTCAGAGAAATTTCTTCGACCACCGCCAAACAGGAACCTCTACTGTGACTCTCCAACCCTTTTATTTTCTTCATGGCACCAACAGTCACGTGTGTATTTGTTTCATTCTTGGAGTTTCCCACAAAATGTCTGTTTTATTCAGTGTTGTTTCCCCCAGTGTCCTGCCCAGTGACTGCTTGTATGTAATAGGTGATCAAGAAATATTTATTTAATTTTTTTACATAAACAGGATCTTATTTGTACCTTTTACTATTGTGTAATCTGTATTAAAGAAATAAACAATATAGCAATTTATCCCAGACACCTTCATGTACCTAAATACAAAGATCTAGTTCCATTTTAATGACTCCCTAGTACTACATTGTGTGAAGGTACCATTATGTATTTAGTCCCCGATAGTGTACATTTAGGCTGTAGCCAATTTTGCAATTAACATATTTTTGCAAACTTGTTTTGCTGTTTCCTTAGGATATGTTTCTAGACTGTATGGAAAAGAATGAATATTGAAGTGTGAATTTAAGACATATAAAGGAATTTTTAAAAAGATTTTATTTATTTTCAGAGAGAAGGGAAGGGAGGGAGAGAGGGAGAGGAACATTGGTGTGCAAGAGAAACAATTGATTGCCTCTCACACAACCCTAAGTGGGGACTGGCCCACAACTCAGGCATGTGTCCTTACCAGGAATGGAATGGGTGACCTTTCATTTCACAGACCAGCATCGAATCCACTGAGTCGCACCAGCCAGGGCAAGACATATGAAAGAATTTTAAAAATCACCTGGTCCAATTCCTTTTTTGGATAAATGCATAGAGGCTACACAGCTAAACTATTGAAAACCTGAGTCTTGACTCCTAACTCTTGGACAACTTTACTGTTTTTTTCCTACACAGGATTACAATCCCCCTGGAACTGATTTGTGTATGGTGCGAGGTAGGAGTCAAATTTCACACTATAATTTGTGGTATGGGACGCAACTAAATATCATAGAACAGCCTCCCCCAAACCCTGAAACATTTTCTCCAATGTTTTCCTCTAGAAGTTTTAGAATTTTAGTTCTTACCTTTAGGTCCATGGTCCTTTTTGAGTTAACTATGTAGTGTGAAGTAATAATCAAGGTTCTTCTTTTGCATGTGAATATCCAATCACTATAGCACTATTCATTAAAAAGACTATCCTTTCCCTCATTGAATTTCCTTGATATTTTCACTGAAAATTGATTATTTAAGCAGGGGTCTATTTCTGGGTTCTCTGCTCTGTTTCATGGATCTTTATGTCTGTCTTTGAACCAATGTGAAACTTTCTTGATTACTGTAGCTTTGTAATAATTGTAAAATTGTTATAATAATTGTTAAAATCAGGTACATTTGTCCTTTTTTCCCCCTACAGAAACTGTTTTGGCTGTTTTAGATCCTTTGCGTTTCCATTTAAACTTTAGAATCTGCTTGCCAATTCTGGTATTTGGGTTGGGATTGCATTGAGTCTATAAATTAATTTACACATTTAGGGTAACTGTCTTAGCCTGGTGCCATTACCCACGCTGGAATCGTTTATTGTTTTAAAAATATTTTATTTATTTACTTTTAGAGAGGGGAAGGGAGGGAGGAAGAGAGAGAAAAATATCAATGTGTGATTGCCTGTTGTGTGTCCCACACCTGGGACCTAGCCTGCAACACAGGCATGTGCCCTAGACTGTGTTGCAAACTGGTGACCCTTTGGTTCATAGGCCAGCACTCAGTCCACTGAGCCACACCAGCCAGGGCTGGAATCATTTATTGTTAATCAACAACTCTTCTTCTGATTCTGGGCTCATTAAACAACCAGATAGGTAGTAAGTGTCCTGGCAGGGAATGAATTGATCAGAGGGTGTAAATGGTCAGGTTTCTGAAGATAGTCTTTCCTACAAAATAATAAGCCAGCATTCTAGTTCTAGCATCAAGTTTTGTGAATTGGATTAATGTCAGTCTGCCCAGAACAATAGTGTCACTTACCCACTCTCTGACAAACCAATCAGGTTCCCAGTTTGCAATAATGAAACTATATTCTGAGTCACGATGATTTCTCCAATTTACTGCTGCCTTGGGGCAAGGATACAAGTTCAAGTTACATCTGCCTCCTGGCCAGCTATCTTAGAAGAATGAAGACAGTTACCATTTGCTGAAGATATCCTAAGCACAGGTTATTTGTACTTATGCTGTAATTCCAGAGTCCTTGCCTAAATCACCATCCTGTGATGCCTTTGATAAGTCATTTGAAAAGCAGAATTGGCCATTTGTAAATCCTGCCACTTTTAATATGGAATTAATTCAAGCTGTTCTGAGTTCAGTCAGTACATTTAAATTTCTACAGCGCATTGCAGTTTTTATATAAGCTTTCATATATGATTCATTTAATTCTCTTTCATATATGAAATGTGCTTTTATAGGATTCATTTAATTTTATCTCCTCCTGCTCTGCCTCATCAAAATTCATTTTTTCCTGATCTCTTTTGGGCAGAATTGAGTTTTGAAAAAAGGAAGTGGAAGAGAGATGTGGTCCTAGTTTTCAAAATTGGCATTTGCTGATGACTATCTTCCCAGATAGGGCTGACAACCCTGAACCTCTCTCTTCTTGACTTAGTGAAGAGAAGGGAGTTAACATTTCCTAAGGGCATTATGTATTACTCCTAAAATTTAGTGCATCTGTAAATGTCTTTCCGGTTTTGAATCAAATGAGGAAAAGAGAAGGGAGGGTGTGGTGTTGGGATACATGTACAAAGAATCTTGCTGGCAGCCAGAAAGCAAGGACAATTAAATTCTCAGTTAAAATATCTGAGAAAAAAAATGAAGGAAATTATGCCCTGGCTGCCTGGCTCAGTTAGAACATTGTCCCCATATACCATGATTGCGGGTTTAATCCCTGGTCAGGGCAGATACAAGAATCAACCAATAAATGCATAAATAAGTAGAACAACAAATCAGTCTCTCTTTCTCTCAAATCAATCAATCAATATATATATATTTTAAATAGAGAAAATTACTGCCTCAATCCCTGGGGTAGGTGGAAGACAGTAGCTGGGTTGTTGACAGAAATTACCAATTCTCGACAGGGTATCTATGCTTATTACTCCTGTGGTGTGTTCAAAGGTTTATTTTTTCATTTATTCATTCATATAGGTGGACATGACCCTGATATAATGGTGGGAATTATGGAGCTATGAAAGGATGAGTCAGAGATGGTACTTGCCTTCACAGGGAAAAACATAACATTTACAAACAGAAGCATTATTCAGCACTTACTGCAGTTTCTTGGTAGGTGCTTGATGCATGTCTAGTATTTGCTGAAATTATTTATGCCATACTGGTGAAAAAGATAAAGCTCAAGCTTGAATGCAGAAATGGACAGAAGTGTTTGACAGGTGGGGAGAACAGCAAGGGCAAAGATACAGTGAAAAGACTACATAGGTTTATATAGATGTGTTTATATATAGATTGAGATCTCAGTATTTCCCTTACATAGGATAGGCCCCATTGCCATGGATTAGATGGGAAATGGGATGGTGGTGGAGTGGATATTGTCAGAAGATAAAAGCAACTGAGAATGAAGAAAACTGATCAAAAACTGTCTTTGTTTTTCAAAAGCAAGAATATACACAGGCAGGATATTTAGAAGGAAGTATAATATTTTCATTAATTAGAAAACTCTAATTTGTAATAGCAGTGAAAACAACCTCTCCCTCCCTTCACCAAAACAAACAAACAAACAAACAAACAAACAAACAAACAAAACCCCTCCTTTGGTTATTACATGGAACAGCAGTGCCACCATCAGTAGGGAGCTGGTTAGAAATGCTGATTCTCAGACCCCAGCCCAGAACCACGGATTCAGAAAGTGCGTTTAACACTATGGTCAGATGATTACATGCACATTGTAGTCTGAGAAGCCCTGCTCTAACCTAGTCTATTTGAGAGTCAGGATTTTGCTGGAAACAACCTCTAGCTGAGGCCACGGCTTCCGGCGTCTTTCATTAGGTGGCAGTAGCCCTCTCGTTTCTTTTCTGTAGCACCCACTTTGTTCCAGGCCTAAAAATGAAGCTCAGGGTGAAGACTGGAGCAGGCCTTGAGGCGGCGGGGGGCGTGTCCCGGGCGGGGCTGGGCCTGCCCAATGGGTTCTCCCGGGAGGGGGGCGGGGCTCTATTTCAGCGGCTCCTTAGGCCGCAGGCGCGCTGTGCTCCTGAGGGTCAGTATGTGGCTTGTGTCCCGCCAGCTGTGTGTGCACGTTGCAAGGCGGAATAAGCTCTTAGGAACTTGGAACAGGCCTGCCGCCTTCATGTCCACCTTGCTCATCAATCAGCCCCAGTATGCTTGGCTGAAGGAGCTGGGGCTCCGCGAGGAGAACGAGGGCGTGTATAATGGAAGCTGGGGCGGCCGGGGAGAGGTATGCGAGCGTCCCGGGAAATCTCTGCAGCTTCAGTTCGCTCCGGGAGGCCGGGCGGGCTCTGCTTAGTCCCACTCCACTGCTCCTGTAGGTGTTGTACTGGGTGGGAAGTTTCTGTGCTCCACAGCAAAAGTTTTCTCCTGTAGGGTGCTTTAAAAAATACCCCTAGGTTTTAGGTCTTCGTGTGCTTTGGAGAGTCGATTCGATGCCATTTTGGAGCTGGTTGGGTTTAAACTTCTCACGCTTACTTGAAGCCTTACCTTAAAGTAGAGTTATGCTATCTGTAGTGAGAAATGCCACACCCTTAGCGGTGGAGATGAATTCTGTTCTTGATTGTGGCTCCTCAGATATGACATGTGCCGCAGGTAATGTTTTACACTATAGTTTTAAATTGCTTTGTTTTCTGAAATCCTTTGAAATTTGCAAGCTCGGACTTCCTGGAATTCTGCCATGTTTTCACCGGCTTTTCCGCATTTCTCAGTTTCCAGAGCCTAACACCATGCCTAGCACCCAGGTAGTGCTCAATAAAACGTTCTATAGAATACGATGGGAAGATAAGGTAATTGTCGCCTGGATTTTTTTGAGAGTCTCATAAGAAGTTTTTGTAAGGAGATGTTATATAACATGCAACAAACTTTGTGCATGTTATGTAATGAACCTGCTTTGTTAGAGGAAACATCTTCCTTTTGGTAACTATAGGAAACACAAGTGGTTTTAATACCCTTCCCCCAACTCCCAACTGGTAGTTTCCTGTTGGTTTCTTTTTCCCCATTATGCCATCTAATCATTAGGTTCTTGGATAAAATATTTCCTGCTGAAGGCATTTTTTTTTCAGTTGACCTTTTTTTTTAAAGATTTTATTCATTTATTTTTAGAGAGGGAAGGGAGGGAGATAGAGAGAGAGAGAGAAACATCAATGTGTGGTTGCTGGGGGTCATGGCCTGCAACCCAGGCATGTACCCTGGACTGGGAATCAAACCTGCGACATTTTGGTTCGCAGCCCACGCTCAATCCACTGAGCTACGCCAGCCAGGGCCTCAGTTGACCTTTTCAATTAGATCTTTTCAGTTTGTGTGGACACAGTCCTTTCCCATAGTTTGGCCTTGGCTGTCTTACTTCATGACCAGAGGCTGGGCAGAGTAAGGGACAGAAGGAATAAGTAAAACTCGAGTTCGGTCTGTTGTTAATGGAAAAAAATGAAATAACACTTTTGTTAATGTACCGAATACTTAGATGGCAAGGATGGGTTTTGCAGAAAGGTGGTTCTGAATGTTTAGGTCAAAATGAAAAGCTCTGGAGCGTGGATTATTTGTAACAAGTTAAGATTCCAAATGTGGATATTGTATCTTTATCTTTTTTCTTCTTCCTCCCCTTTTTCTTCCCTCATTTGGTCTGCTCTCCCAATTTTGGAAGGGATTACATTTTCTACATATGGTGGTCATCTTTTTGTTTTTAGGTTATCACAACCTATTGTCCTGCTAACAATGAGCCAATAGCAAGAGTCCGACAGGTAAGTACTTTTGTTTTTCACAAACAGTTTATGTGGCGTTAGTGGGAGTGATCAAGAGCAATACAAAATCAGAAAGTCAAAGAACAGTGTATTTCTTTTTCACTGACATTTAAGAATGCCTAGGAGACACTGCCCACTCTTTGGATGGAGGTGTGTGTGCCCTCGAAGAAGTGAACCACAACAAAGACTAAGAAGGAAGAGAGGGGGTCCCTTTAAGGCAAGGGTGTCAAACTCATTTACACTGGGGGCCACATCAGGCTCGAGGTTGCCTTCAAAGGGCCAAATGTAATTTTAGGACTGTGTGAATGTAACTACTCCTTAACTAGGGGCAAGGAGCTCTGCGCTGCTGCCGGGTAGAAACAAGGTGCTGAGCCGGATAAAACAAGGTGGAGAGCTGGATTCAGCCCGTGGGTCTTGTGTTTGCTACCTGTGCTTTAAGGCCTTGCTTCTGAATCACCTGGAGACTTCTAGAGTGAAGGTTCAGACCTCTTAAATCTGGGTTGGAGGCCAGGGTTCTGCTATTCTAATACAGGGCTCAGGTGTTGTTTGCAGATGAGGCTGATGGACCTTGCTTTGAGAACTAAGGCTAAAAAAAGCACAGCTAGATTCGAAAGGGTCCTACTGGGTCCCAGCAAGCTTTTGGAAGCATAGGCTGTGAAAATCATTCCAAACCACAAACCTTAGGGTTACCCAGAGATTTCTAATTCTTTTCTAGAAATAATATGTGTGTTCTTAGAAGAAGATTACTACCCTTTCCTCTCCCACCCCTCTTTTTTTAAGAGACGGAAAGGGAGGGAGCAAGAGGCAAGAAACATCAGTCTTGGAGAGCCCCGACCAGGGACCTAACCTGCAACCTAAGCAGGTGCCCCGACCAAGAATTGAACCAGGGACCTTTTGCTTTGGGGGATGACACCCAATCAACTGAGCCTCACTGGTCAGGGTTCCCCCTAATTCTTTTTATTAATTCTTTTAATTTATTTTTTGTTATTCCCACCCCACCCAAACTCCTCAATTTTTAATTTAGGCTAGCATGGCTGACTACGAAGAAACTGTGAAGAAAGCCAGAGAAGCATGGAGAATCTGGGCAGATGTAAGTATGGAGGCCACGGCATGATCACTCACTTACTGTAGTTCAGTGAGATAAAGAAACAGGGGAACATCGGAAGAGCAGGTCAGTGCCTTCTTGCTGAGCTGAGAGCTCTTTGAGGGCTGTGATAGCTTCCTGCTGTAGTCTTAGAATAGTGCCTTTTACATATTTGGCCTTCAGTGTGAATTGGTCATTTTAAATGTGTTAAAACTGTTGCATGTAGCATAAATTCATGCTATTGACTACTCTTTATTCACCAATTTGTAATTAAGCAAAATGCAAGGCATAGTTATACTAAAAATATCCATTTGCTTCTTTTCCCTCCCTGCCACTTTTATGGGGGGTGGGTGGGGAGTACCTCTAAAATAGGTCTGCATTTCTAGTTCACAGGGCATTGGTGGCAGCTCCTTCAAAGGGCAGGGGCTGGAGTTCTTCAGCTGTCAGATCAGGCTTTGGGATGGGTTCTGCCTCCTTCAGCTCTGTCTCCATCAGGGGCTACATGCACAAGTGTAGGGACTGTGATTGGAGCTTGGCCCCACTGAGCTGTCCCTAGATGAGGGCCAGGCTCTGGAGGAGGGGAGAGTAAAGAACAGCGATAGCCTGGATCTGCCAATCCTCACATCATCCTGAATATCCCTTTTGGTCTGCCACCAAAAATTGTAGGATGGAGGCTGTAGAACTATCCTGGGTGGTTAACCCAGGGCTATACCTGGGCAAATTACTTCACCTCAGTGTGTTTCGTCCTGCAAAAAGGAGAGACCTTGTGTGCCTACTTCCTGAGTTATCACCGGGGTAAAATGAGTTAATCATGTAAAATGCTTACAGGAGAGCCTGGCACGTGACAATCCTCAGTAACCTGCCAGTGATAAACCACGTGCCGCTGGGTGTGGGACTGCTGAGCCAAGTGTTTTCTCTGAGTCAGTGATTGCCAGGAGGTCTCGGGGACGGTTAGACTCTCCAGGAGAGCCCTGGGTTGGATGTAACTTTGTTGTTTGCTAAGTGACTGCTTCTGTGCAAACCACGAGGAACATTTTTCCTCTACTTCACTAATTCTGGCCATAAATTAGGCTGAAGTTTCAATGATACATAATCAAAGCTATTCCTGAGCAGATTTTCCTGCTCCAAACAGTTGTGCCAAGTAAAAGTTTACTCTACCTGGGTAGAGACCAGTGTCCAGAGCAGTGTCATTACTGTGATGTTTAAAAAGTAACATTTCTTCTTAAAAGATTATATTTTATTGATTATACTATTACAGTTGTCATCATTTTTTTCCCTTTGTGCCCTGCTTTCCACCCAGCATCCTCCAATCCCTCGGGCAGTCCCCACGCCATTGTTCATGTCCATGGGTCATGCATGTAGGTTCTTTGGCTTCTCCATTTCCTATGCTGTACTTTACATCCCCATGGCTATTCTGTGACTACCTGTTTGTACTTCTTAATCCCCCCCACCTCTTCACCCATTCCCCCACATCCCCCTCCCATTTGGCAACCATCAAAATGCTCTCTGTATCCATGATTCTGTCTCTGTTCTTCTTATTTGTTTAGTTTTTAAAAATCAGTTTTTGATAGATATGTATTTATTGCCATTTTATTGTTCATAGTTTTGATCTTTTTGTTAAACAAGTCCTTTAGTGTTTCTTATAATAATGGTTTGGTGATGATGAACTCCTTTAGTTTTTTCTTGTCTGTGAAGCTCTTTATCTGCCCTTCAATTCTAAATGATAGCTTTGCTGGGTAGAGCTGTCTTAGCTGTAGGTCCCTGCTCTTTATAACTTGGAATATTTCTTGCCAATCCCTTCTTGCCTGCAAAGTTTCTTTTGAGAAATCAGCTGACAGTCTTGTGGGAACTCCCCTGCAGGCAAATAACTACTTTTAAGATTCTCTCTTTATCTTTAACCTTTAGCGTTGTAATTATGATGTGTCTTGGAGTGGTCCTCTTTGCATCCATCTTGTTTGGGACTTTTTCTGCTTCCTGGACTTGTATGTATATTTCCTTCACCAAATGAGGGGAGTTTTCTTTCATTATTTTTTCAAATAGATTTCCAATTTCTTGCTCTTTCTCTTCTCCTCTGGCAGCCCAGTGATGCGAATATTGGACCACTGGAAGTTGTCCCAGAGGCTGCTTACACTATCCTCATTTTTTGGGGCTCTCTATTTTTCTTGTTGTTCAGATTGGTTGTTTTTTTCATCCTTATGTTCCAAATCATTGATTTGATTCTTGGCTTCAGACACTGTACTGTGTTTCCCTGTAATTGTTCTGTATTTCAATTAGTGTGTCCTTCATTTCTGATTGGGTTTTTTAATGCTGTTGAGGTCCTCACTAAGGTCCTTGAGCATCCTTATAACCAGTTGAACTCTGAATCTGATAGGTTGCTCATCTCCATTTTGGTTAGCTCTTTTTCTGCAGTTTTGATCTGTTCTTCCATTTGGACCATGTTTCTTTGTCTCCTTCTTTTGACAGCTGCCCTGTGCTTATTTCTATGTATTAGGTAGGGCTGCTTTGCTTCCATGTCTTGGTAGTGTGGCCTAATGTAGTAGGTGTCCTGTAGGGTCCAGTGGCACAGCCTCCACATCACCCAAGCTGGGTACTCGAGGTATATCCTTTTTGTGGGCTGAGTACACCCTCCTCTTGTAGTTGAGCCTTGATTGCTATTGGCAGGTCAGTGGGAGGGATTTACCCAGATCATTCAGGGGCAAGTACTGGCTGTGACCACTGACTACCATTCTCTGCCTTCTGTGGAAGATCAGCTGTATAGGGGCAGGGTGGTGGTGCTCTGACATGGTCTGTAGCTGCCCACTGGGTGCACAGCCTCAGGGGTTTCCTGAGTGATGCAGTCCAGGGTCAGCCCCCACATATGTTTTGCCTGAGGTCACTCTGCCTGGGCTATAAAGCAATCTGAGATGGCTGCTACTTTTGGTTGTCTTGGAGATTCCCAGGCAAAGCCAAGCTGTGAATCTAGGTTGGCTGCTGCTAGTGCAGGTCCTGGGGCCACTAAACAAGAGGTTGCGTGGCTGGTGGCTCATGGAGGCCAGCTATTGCTTGTTTGATAGGATTTAGGAAGTTATGAAGCAGAAGGCAAGACCATCCATTCATGTAAAAGAACAGCTTGGGTAGGCCAGAGTTTCAAGGGATCTCTAGGATGGGGCAAACAGTGTTAGCTAGGTTAATGGAGTCTCAGATATGGCACCAGCTTGTTGGCTCTGTGGCTCTCTGGAGGGAAGGTTTTGAGAAGGGACAATGGTCTTTGCTTTCTTTGATGCTGGACACTTCAGTTTCTCCATGTATGCCACTGGTGCCTTTCAGGCTGCTACCCCGCTGCTGGAGCTCAGAGGGAGTGAGTCTGAGTAGATGAATCCATCTGTGGGTTCTTTAAGAGTTACTGCTTGGGACTCCAGAAGTTTCTTCCATCAACTCAACCCCTGCTGGTTTTTGCAACCAAATGTTGTGGAAACCTATCTTCCTGGCACTGGAACCCTGGGCTGGGGTACCTGGCCAGGGGTACCCCGGCCAGGGGCTGGGGCTGGGACTTCTTGCTCCTGAGATATGCCTCCTGAATTTTTATCCACACATGTTTGTGGAACCAGCTCATTCCGTATCTGCTTTAATTACATCATTGTCAGACTTCTGACAGTTCTGAGTGATGGTTGTCCTTTATTTTAGTTGTAATTTTGGTGTGGTTGTGGGAAGAGGCGAGCCATCTCTGCCTATGCTGCCATCTTGACCAGAAGTAAGACCTTATTTTATTATCATAAAAGTAATGTAATACATATTCCCTACTTTTTTAAAACCTAGAATGATGCAGTAAACAAGAGAATCAAATATGATCCCCTTATTTTCTCCCCTTACATTCTCAGTACAGAATGGTTATTAGAGTTATGTTTGGTGCATTTCCTTCTAGTCTTCTATGTGGTTATTTCATAGTTATGTTTATTCTAGTTACATGCATATATACATGATGTGTATAAAATTCTGTGACCTGTGGTTGCATTATGCCAGGCTAGAATTACTGCAAAATTTTTAACCATGATGTATGTATTCTTATACATATACAGTTATACCTTGGTACTACTCTTTGGCTTCAGAACTCATCAAACCCTGTACTCGTTGCATTTTGATGAGAAAAAAAAAGTTTCAGCACTCGACACTTGCTCAGGACTTGTCACATTTGCCAGAACTTATATGAGTCGTGATGTTGCCCCTCAAGAGAAAGTGCTTCATTGTTCAGTACTCTAGGTTTTGGCACTCATAGGTTCCAGCATTCGTAGGTTTCGGCATTCCACGTGAGTTCCAGAATGAATTAACAATGAATACTGAGGCACCACTGTACTTTTTGTAAAAAAAAAAATTAATAGACTTATTTTTTACAGCAGTTTTAGGTTCATAGTGTAGGGGAAGAAACATTTTCCTTTCTTTCATTCTAAGTTCTATGGCTGGTCTAATGATTAAATTGACTAAGACAGATTAACAGAAAAATAAATTTTAATTTTGTACATAAAGGTTCCCTGGTTCCCTCAAAGATATTAAACCGAAAGGCAACCAGGTAACTGGTGCTTATATAGCATCTTGAGTGAAGGAAATGAATAGGGGTCTGGGGTTTTAACAAGCAAATGTTTGGTTAACAAATGTTTGCCCTGCTGTGCAGATAAGTCTCTCAGATATAAGAAGTTATATTTAGTACTAGGTCTCTTCCTGATACAGCTCCCCCCTTTCCAATTTTTCCTAGGAAGTTTAGGGGAGATAAAATGCTTTTCCTGAGGCTGCTGGGTCTTATGTGCCTTCAGCACAAAGTAATCCATATGTTGAAGTGGCGCGTTCTGGGGTGACTTGTTCTGAGCCCACTCAACAGAAAGGAGAAGAAAGGACAGAGTTCTCTCCCCCTCCCCCTTCACTCTTAGCAAGTTTATTAACATCTTGCATAGTGTGGTACATTTCTATGATTGGTGAGCCAATATTGATTCATTATTATAAATTATATAAAGTCCATCTTTTATATTAGGGTTTAACTCTTTGTATACACCATTTTGAATGCCAGTGAAACATTTGACCAGAAATATCTATTACAAGTGTATATTTACCCAGGATGACTACGGTCGTGTTAGAGGAGAGAGTTAGTGTGAATTCAGAGCCTTTGCTTTTTTTGAACTGGCCTTTCCATCTGTCCTCACTCCAGGGTGGCGGCTGACGTTGTGATGCCAGCCTTGACTATTGGGCTATACTTTGTTGTTGTGTTTGCATTCAGGATCTCATTTAGCAGTCTGCTCTTACTCGGCAATGCTGGACTCCGCGCCTTGTCCTTCCTCATACTTCTCACACAGTTCAGAACTCCCTGTAGAATGGGGGCTGCTAAGTGGGACTAGGTTGCTTTTCTGGGTGATGGTAGAGTCAGTTGGGAATCTACTTATTAGAATTTGAGTTAAGCAGTTGAGTTCAGAGTTTGGGAAAGAGACAGAGACTTTGCTAACTGCCTGCCAGTCTCCCACCGATGTGGGCAGTGAGTTAGAGGTTGCTGGGGCCTCAAGCAAGAACCAGGCGGAACCAGGTCCCCTCCTGGTCTATGCATGTTCCCTCTTGGCTCCTCACGTGTGTGGATGGAGCCCCTGGGTGGCCATGATCCTCTGGGCTGGCTTTGCCTGTTTGAGGACAAACCACTGTTTCATTTAGTTCAATTGAATTAAGCCTGGGATTTTTCAAGGAGAACATTTTTCTTGAAAAGAAATACAGTATAAAAATGTGGAAGGCTAGTTAATAAAAACAGATTTCTGCCTCTTCACTGGAACTGCCACAGAGAGCATAGTTGGGAATGCTGAGTGCTGCCTCCTTTCACGAGACAGTTTTAGCTCAGGAGGCCACCTGTTTCTGCCCCTCTGCATCCCCTGCGCGTCTTCCTTCTTCCTCTCCATCTCTGGTGAGGAAGAGCCAGAGTCTCCTTTCTCTCTCTATTTTTATTGATTTTAGGGAGAGGGGGAGAGAGAAAAAGAGAGAGAAACATTGACCACCTGTCTCCCATATGCGCCCTAAATGGGGATCGACCCCACAGTTTAGGTGTGCGCCCTGACCTGGTATTGAACCACAAGCTTTTGGTGTATAGGTCGGTGCTCCAACCTACTGAGCCACCTGCAAGGGCCCCTAATAAGTTCTCAGTTGGATTCCCTACTTCTCTTTTCACCTCAATCTGTTCTCTACCCATTAGACAGTGACCTTAAGAGATAAAGCAAATCATTTTGTTTTGCTTTTGAAAAACTGTTAAAGACTTCCCATTGCACTTGGCTAAGATTCTGACTCCTGCTCGGTCTTAACATCATCTTCTTAGAAACCTCTGCGCCATGAGAGCCAAGTGCAGGAAGAAGCGAATGCGCAGGCTAAAGCGCAAAAGAAGAAAGATGAGGCAGAGGTCCAAGTAAACTGCTAGCTTCTGTACCCATGGAAGCCACAGGAGCAGAAATAGGGGAAGCCAGAGGCCAGGGACACTGGTACAAATTGTTTGACTGCATGCCTGCTGAACATACAGTCTGATCTCTGCGACTACCTTTTGAGAGACCCATGCTGTCTTACAACAACAGTCTCTTTTGGTCCTTTGCCCTGGACCTATGACATTCTGGACTGGTTCTGTTATCATTTGTGGCTGAATGTGTACATCTCTTAGCTGGAAAAAAAAAGATTCTGACTCCTTAAAAGTTTCTGACTTTAGGCATGCTGGCCTTCCCACACAGGCCCTCAAATATGACAACCTTTTATTTCCCCTGGATCTCTCCTACATGTTCTTTTTTCCTGCTGGGAAGAATATTCCTGTGGTTGACTTTTCCTATTCTTTGGGTTTCAGCTTAAATCTCCCCTCCTTAGACATTTCCCCAACCACTGTTTAGGTTAAATAACTTACCCACTTATCCCTCAAACCTGCTGTAATCTCTGTCTCAGTGCCCTCTTCATTTCCTTGGACTTTATAACCCTTTTGGCAGTTTGTAAATACTTGAGCCTTTTTTAATCCCTGTGCCTTCCACTAGATATTAATTAGCTCCATAAATGCCTCACTTCTTATTTTAGTCCCAGTGCTTGTTAGTACTGCTGTCACAGAGTAGGTGTTCAGGAAATATTTGATGAACAAATGATATGATTTGAACGTATTATGGAATGCCAGTTTATAAGGAAGCTGCATCAAGGGTTTGGGCATGAAGCCAGTTTGGCCCATAAAAACTCATTACTGGGAATCATAAAGGCATGTAGATCTTTAAGGTATTTTGAGCTTTCTGGAGTCATCCCAAAAGATTGTGTTCAGCCTCTGAATTTCTCTCCTTGGCACAGCTCCTTTCTAACTATGAACCTATCATCTGAATATTTTCTGGGCTGTTGGTCTTGGCTTTGGGGCCCACCATATCACAGTCCTGACATGATCAAAAGAGTCATTTGCTTGTGGTTTGCTCTCTCACAGCACATTTACCCAATACAGTATTAGAGACGTGAGTTTGCACTTTGATATTTTATTTTATTTTTGATTTTAGAGAGAGGGGGATGGAGGGAGAAAGAGAGGGCTAGAAACATCAACTGGTTGCCTTCTGTACGTGCCCCAGGGGAGTACACCTGCAACCCAGGCACGTGCCCTGACCAGGAATTGAACTGGCGACTTTTCGGTTCATGGACAATGCCCAACCAACTAAACCGCACCAGCCAGGGCAACGAGTTTACACTTTGAATGGGATACCAAAATTCCATTCTTTTCTTTAGGTTCCTGCTCCAAAGCGAGGAGAAGTAGTGAGACAGATTGGTGATGCCTTGCGAGAGAAGATTCAAGTACTAGGAAACTTGGTAAAGTATTTCTGTAATAAAAATATGATCTTTTAGAGGCGAATAAGGCCTTCTCGCATTTCTGTATATAACAGTGTGATTTTTTTTTAAAGTTTTAACTTTGATGACATTCAATTTATCTGCTTTTGCTTTCTGTATATATTTTTAAAGCTTTTATTAATCATTTTTAGATAGATGGGAAGGGAGGGAGAAAGAAAGGGAGAGAAACGTCTATGTGTCAGAGAAACACTGATTGTTTGCCTCTTGCACGCACTCTGACTGGGCCACAACCCAGGCATGTGCCCCGACCAGGAATCCAGCCGACGACCTTTCCTTTGTGGGATGATGCTCAACCAACTGAGCCATGCCGGTCAGGGCATACGATTGTGATTTTTAAGAAAAGCAATTAATACATTTCAAAAGTCTTTTCTCTGGAGGAAAGATGAACACAGTGGACAGGAAAAAGTGAACGCTATTCTTAGGTTTTAAAATTTTTCAGAAAAAATATGAGCAGATATTCTGAAATTTAATACCTTCACAAAACAGACACAAAATATGTTTTCCATTTTCTGCCTTATCATTTTGATGTTTAACATATAAATTTTGTTGGAAAAATATAGCTTGACTTTTTGTATTTTCAGGTGTCTTTGGAGATGGGGAAAATCCTAGTAGAAGGTGTGGGAGAAGTTCAAGAGTATGTGGATATTTGCGATTATGCTGTTGGCTTGTCACGGATGATCGGGGGACCCATTCTGCCTTCTGAACGTAAGCAGTGAAGTCGCTGAGCTCCAAGTTCTGTGCTCTGACACAGGGAGCTCCAAAACATGCCCTGGCTCTGAACAGTTTGCGAAAGAGGAATTGTGAGTGGCACGTGAATGCATGAAAATGTCTTTAATCTTTCTACCCAGAAATGCAAATTGAAACAGATGAAAACATCAAATCAAGACACTTTAATTTTTAAAGATGGAACTTGGTGTCAGCAAGTCCATGGGTGAGACAGCCTTTTACAGGGACTTGTAGTGATGAAGTGCCATCCATCTGGAAAAAATAGAGGCTTACATATAGTGCCAGTTTCAAGAATCCAATTTAAGTAAATAATTTGAAATGTGACAAAGTGTGTAAAGATGTTCATTGTAGTATCAGTAGGAAACATTAAAAATGACCTAAATGTTGTAAGGCAAAGGTAGAGTTCATTTTGGCTGTTCGTTAGTGGGTAATAAAAATCCTGCTTATGAATTGCCTATCTTCAGCACCATACTTTTATGAGAAGGTTGTTTTTACTTATTTTTAAATTACCTTAATGTTACTTTTTTGAAGAGATGTTATACTCATCACAAAATTGAAAAGGAATAAAAGAGTGAAGGATGAAAAGTACTCCCCTGGGGATCCCACGTGTTCCCATGGCGGTAGTCACTGTTTGTGGTTTCTCGTACAGCTTTTTAGAGCTTCTGTTCCCTTACCGGTAAATACATGTCTTCTGGAAACACAAACATTAGCAAAATATACATTCTGTTCTATACTTTTTCCTACTTAATGGGTGTTAGAAATCATTTCATATTGTTCCGTTAAGGTGTCTCCTTCATCTTTTTTTTTTTTTTTAATGGCAATTTGCTGTAAAGATCCTCTTTGTAACTTATTGAGTTTGTTCCCAAATGATGGATGTTTTCAGTTTGCTGAGTTACGATGTGCTGTCAGGACCAGCCTTGTACTCTGGGAAGTTTCAGTGAAGAGGTTAAGGGCTTATGTGATATGTAACATTCACAGTTTTAATGGAGCGAACAGACATTCTGTGTGGCCGCATTGAAGATACAGGGCCTGGAAGTCTGCCAGAGTGATACCAGTGGTTATTCCGATGTGGCAAGATTCTTGACGGGTTTTATTGTTGTCTTTCTATTCTAGAGTATTTTTCAAAAATGTCCACGATGAGAATTATGTTTCATTTATGATCGGGAAAGAAAATAAATATATATTAAAAACTTAAGTAATTTATTTTAGAGAGAGAGAAACATTGACTTGTTCCACTTATTTATGCATTCACTAGTTGATTTTTGTATGTGCCCTGACTGGGGATTGAATTCACAATCTTGATATATCAGGATAACCTGCCTGGCCAGAGTGAAAGTTTATAGATTTTTACATTTTTATTTACTTAAAATTTTTAAAAATGTATATTTTAAAGAGTAGATTATTCATCGGTACAGAGGCTTTGGGGTAACTTTGACCTCATTAATGCAGTTAACGCTTCTTGAGTGTCTGCCAGGTGCCAGGTGATCTAATAGGTGACGCTTGATCAATGAGCTATAGTCCTTGTCCTGAAGGAATTTATAAGGTTCCTTACATTTAAGGGTGAGAGGCAAGTGGGAGATAAGTAAAGGGATAATTATAATACAACATGCTAAGTACTGTGATGGGGTGTAGGATAGGATAAGATAGTGAGCCCCAAAGCTCAGCCAGAGAAAGTAATCCAAAGCCTCCCAGAGGAAGTGATTCAAGTTAAGTCCTCAAGGAAGGGAGGGGTAGAGTGCTGGGGCAGGAGCTATTTTAAATAGGGAGGGAGAAAATTAAAGCTTAGGGTGGGAGAATGTGGAGTACTTGGGGAACTGTGCTGCTGTAGCACAGCTGGAGGGCACAGTATGAGGGGAGAGGCTTTCCTGAGAGTGAGTTTGGAATTTACCAGAGGGCAGCTCCAGTAGTGATCTGGACAATCAAAGGGTTTTAAGCAAGGGAGTGATGTTATCAGAGCTGCACTGGCCTCTCTGGGGGGAGGGATACAGAGAAGGGGGAGGACTAGAGAGGAGGAGGCAGGCCCTGCCTGCAGGAGGCCATGCCAGCACAGCATCTGAAGGGAGGTTGGGGTGCCTACACCAAAGGAAGGTGTGGTGGTGGGGTGCAGCCACTGGCGGCTTCCCTGTTCCTAGCTGGCCGTGTGAGCATGGCCTGAAAGATGGATGGCTGGGAGCACCACCTTTCCTGTCGGTTTGTGGTTTTCACCAGGGTTCGTGAGCTATCACTCCTTGCTTTGGTTCTTCACTGCTCTGGCTGGGTGCCCTTGATTAAAATAATCAGTTCATATGAGGATCAGGGGCATAGTGTCTATCATTATGGTTTATAAGGTAATGTAGTAAGAGTAGCTTTTGTAGTGTGCTAATTAGTGTACCCAGCCCCACTGCTGTGTAAAGTGATCCACCATGAGGCATCTGGAATCCCCACTTGGCCCTGTGTACCTTTGTTCTGAAGATGAAAGATTTTAGACTTTGCTCTTCCTAATTTGACTTGAATTACATGAACATGCTTGAACATATTCCTTGCCTTCCTCTGTCCTCAGGACCTGGCCATGCGCTCATCGAACAGTGGAATCCTGTGGGCCTGGTTGGCATCATCACTGCCTTCAACTTCCCGGTGGCGGTGTACGGCTGGAACAACGCCATCGCCATGATCTGCGGGAATGTCTGCCTTTGGTGAGACCTGCTCACTTTCTTGTCTAGTAGGAGGCAGATAAAAGCAGCCATTGTTAGGTCCTAGTACAAGTGTTTTAAATGTATTGAAATGCTTTCTATAACTCTACTCTTTCTGTTACATATTGAGTCACATCTGCCTCTATTTGTGAAATATCAATTTTGAATTATTATGTGTTTTAACCATTGGTAAAATTTATTTTTTTGACTTATTTTTTTGATACAGCCTTGTCCTTCCCATTGTTTCCACCCCAAGCGGGTGTACTGTCATTAAATTCTGACACGAACCTCCTGGATTTAGTGTCAAGGTCCGCATGTGCAAGGGCTCCGTCCTCCAGAGGACTGGCTGTGGCTCCGCTTTAGATGCAGGCTGCGAGCATCCCCAGCCCCCAGAACACCTGCCATTCTGACCAGCCATCTGCAATGGTGCAGGTTCCCAGAACCCTTGGTTTCAATAATTCATTAGAATGACCCCCAGGACTCAAGAAAGCACCAAACATAATAATAGTAGTTTTATTAGAAAGGATACACACAGGGAGAGGTCTAGAAGGTCATAGACTGCAGAGCTTCCACGCCCTCCCCTGTGAGCTTGGGGCACGTCACCCTCCCAGCTGGGAGGCTCCACTGAGCTTTGGGTTCCAGATTTTTTTACTGCGGCTTTATTCCATAGGCATTATTGATTCAGTCATTGACATGTGATTGAACTCAATTTAGATTTCTCCTCCCTTTGCCCTGGTTGGTCTTTCTGGTGACCAACCAACCCCCATCTTGAAGCTACCTAGGGGGCCCCACAAGTCACCTTGTTAGCATAACCCAGAGTTCTGTCACTCGGAATTCCAAGGTGTTTTGAAGCTCTGTGTCAGAAATAGACCAGATAAATAATCTTTATTGTACTACCCTCCCCAAACAGAAAACTGAGGAAACAAGTAGGAGGAAAAAAAGAACTTGTAGTGAGTCACAACTTTCTTTTAAAGTTTGACTCTTTTTTTTCTTTTTCTTTTTTTGAAAAACATTTTATTTATTTTTAGAGACAGGGGAAGGGAAGGAGAAAGAGGGAGAGAAGCATCAATGTGTGGTTGCCTGTAACACCCCCGTGCACTGGGGACCTGGCCTGCAACCCAGGCATGTGCCCTGACTGGGAATTGAACCGGTGACCTTTCTGTTCACAGGCCAGCACTCAATCCATTGAGCCACACCAGCCAGGGCATCATGAAAGTTTTGTAGACTGCTGGGTCTCAGAGACCCCAAGGTGAAGGATAGATTCCTTTTTCAGTTACTAGGCTCAGTTATCTAAACAAGGTTTTCTCACAAAGACTTATGCTTCTTCTTGATAATAAAAGGTACTTATGATTTCCACCAAATTAAGTTGCTTTTTTTTTAACCCTCTCAAGGAAAGGAGCTCCGACAACTTCCCTCATTAGTGTTGCTGTCACAAAGTGAGTATGTGTGTATGTGTGGCTTTCTTTCTCCTGGGAATAGAATAACCTCAAAAGGGTGATTGACAGGCACTGAATTTTTAATGCAGTGTCAAAGTATAATTAGTATGGGATTTCGATCACCTCTTTCTCTTTTGGTTGTAATAACGTTTTTACATCGTGTGTAGTGTTTGCAGTTTACAGCGTTCTTTCAGGGCCACACCATTTAACTCTTTGGAAACATGCCAGGTGTTGAGTTAAGTGTTGAGACTGAACTCTTATAAACATTACCATCACTTGAAAGTAAAAGCAAATCCAACCGAGAGGAAATTTCCTTGCAATTTAGGAGCTATATTTTATAACTATTCAACATGTTAATGGTTTTGATTTCTACTCAGCTAATTCTTTTATTGCTTTTGCTTTATAGACTGCTAGCAAAGCAGAAAGAAATGTTTATTATTCCACGGATTCTTCTCACACTATCCAAAATGTATTATTTTATCTTTTGATTAAAAAGTTGTTTTATTTACTCTTATTTGTAAACTTGACAACTCTGATTATGTCATAAAATCAGTGTTACTAATCATCATTCAGAATTTAGAGATTGTGCCTGAGAGATGCCTGCTGTGTGGGGCGATGGTGCATCCTTCACGCTTGATTTCCTGGTTTGTGTTCTCTGATTGAGAGTTGTTGGTACAGAGCTCGTGGTGGAGTCTCTGTGCAAGAGAGTCCTTAATATCAGAGCATTTAGGAGCACTGGCGTAGGACTGAAAAAAGAGAGAATAATATTTACTTCAGAGGAATGTGTGATATTGAGGGAAATATATCCTTCCAGTTAGGGCTGTTCAAATTAAATATTTCAAAGAACTCTGTATATAAAACATAAAAATGATGAGATTCCCCAGGCAATTTTTTTAAATTAAGAAATAAAACTTAAAATAGTTAACATGGTCATGGTCAACAAGTGGCTTGCTGGTTTAAACAACTGGTTTAAAATACTGTCAAGTGTTCGAAGTTGTTGCTTTGAGACATTTTATATTTATTATTTAATTATTTTGAAGCATTTGAAATGTTCGTATAGGAACATGGCTGATATTTTAGATAATTGAGAATATTGTCTTTTTTAAAAGACTTTATTTACTGTTAGAGAGAGGAGAAGGTAGGGAGAAAGAGAAAAACATCAGGTTGCCTCTCACATGTCCCCTACTGGGGACCTGGCCCGAAACCCAGGCATGTACGCTGACTGGGAATCGAAACTGAGACCTTTTAGTTTATAGCCAGACTCAGTCCACTGAACCACACTAGCCACAGCAAGAATATTATCTTGTTTTGTAATGGAAGACAATAAGTACAATGATGCTAAATTTTGCCATTATTCAGCAAGGATGCTGCCATATCCAGGGGGAGTTCTTAAATTTAACTGAACATTCAGACTCTTAAGATTAACAGAGGTCATGTGTCATCCCTCTCTGTTGGATATTCTAGTGTGCGAGGAGGATAGCGTTAGGTATTTCTTTCAATTTCTTTGTAGCAGTTTGCACAGAGGTAGGGAGATGAGATCTACAATGGACCAGAGTGGGGGTTGCCCTGACTTCATAGCCTAAGGCCCCACAGGAGCCAGGATGCCTTGTAAAAATTCCATTGGCAGAGCTTTCAGCCACCTGTAAGGGACATGCTGTTCCAAGAGTCACGGCACTCAGAGAAGGCCAAAACGTGTGAAGTTCCTATTTATCATTCTCTGGTAGTTATCCTGGTCCCTGTGTAGTGGGCCCGTCAGGGGTCGTTTTTACCAGAAGCTATGTCGTCTGTGTGGGTGGCGTTGTTGACACTCTGACATTCATCAGGCAGCTGGGAAACAGAACTGGAGAGTTAACCTAAGGTTAGATTCTCAGGCATTAGGGGGAGAGGGTTTTGTTGATCTTTACTCGTGGTCGCAAAGAGTAATCTGTACCTATCAAGGGCAACCAGTTTACTTGTGTAGATAGGATATACGCCGTAAGTCCCTGGGCAGAACTGTACAACCTGACACCTAGTCTCAGACCTGAGAGCTGTAGTGTGGATTCCTAGCTAGGATGGGGAAAAGAAAACCACTATAAAGGACATTTTTTATTGTTTGTTGGGATGACATTAGTTAATAACTTTATATGTTTCTTTTATTTTCCCCAGCGAAGTACATTTATTAGAAAGGAAACTCCAAATAATCACAAGCGGTTCTCTTGCACAATTCTACAATATGTCACCTGTATATTGTATTGTGTGCTCACTACCCAAAGTCTAGACTTCCTTCATCACCATTACTTTGACCACCTTTACCCTCTTCATCCTCCTCCAACCCCTTCCCCTCTGGTAACCACCCTTAGTGTTAGTGTCAGTAAGTTCGTTGTTTTGTGTGTTGCTTTCTATTTAATAAGTGAAGTCAGGGTGCTCGTCTATAAAGGACATTTGAGGGGGACAGTCTGAGTATTTACTTGCATTCGCAATGGTATCTTTTTTTCTTTTTTTATGGAAGTGGGTATAGGATTTTGATCTTTTTTGAGATTTAAACTAAACCAGTTAGAAGGTAGCCAGAAAGTTGATGTAAAGAATCTTTGCTGTATTTTGGCCCATGCTCCTCAGGAAACTCACGGTGAAGAACCCTGTTTCAGAGCAAACAATTACTGGAGCCATTTTTAGAACTTGAAATAAGATTTAATCAGCATTGAACGGTATTTATCATTTTAACTGACAGTATAAGTTTAGGAAAAAAGCTGTGCTTGTCTGCAGTGCTTTAACCCAGAAGAGACTAGGAAAGGTTTGCTGTGAAACCAGTGGACACTAGTCCTGAACTTCTTTATGGTTTTGCAGGCAGGTCCAGCTCCCTCAGCTGTGTCTCCTCAGGACCTGCTCTAGGTTTGGGGACCGCTTTCCGCTTTCATCATGTAGCACTTCTCTAGCTGGCTCTGCTTTGCAGAGATGTGTTGAAACCTCTTTTTTTTTTTTTTGCTGATGGGAATGCCCTTTTATTTTGCCATCTTTCTAGGTTTTATTCCTTACTATTTCTTTTTTTTTATTTCTTTACCATCATTTTAACAGATTCGTAGTGAGAGACGAAAAGAAAAAAAAATGCCCTGTGATCAGTCAGCAATCTTGAATTTGAATCAGCTACATCCTCAGAGTTTGGCAGAAAATACTTGAAGACAATGATCACTTGAACTACCTGTCCAATGCTTTATGTCTTTTGTTTATTTTGGATTTTTTTAAAAGGAAAATTAAGTTTTAATTAAAAGATTTATTTTTAGAGTGAGGGGGAGGGAGGGAGAAAGAGAGGGAGAGAAACATCAGTGTGTGGTTGTCTCTCATGCACCTCTGACTAGAGAGACCTGGCCTGCAACCCAGGCATGTGCCCCGACTGGGAATCGAACTGGTGACCCTTTGCTTCACAGACCGGAGCTCAGTCCACTGAGTTAAACCAGTTGGGGCTATTTATTTTGGATTTTTAAACATTTCTTTTCAAGATTCTCTTAGGGAACCTTTTAAGGGTTTGAAAACCTCATTTCTGTTTTATGAGGAGAAACCCAGTCCTGGATGTTTGAGGGAAGGGAGAGGGAGTTGAAACAGGAAAGTTGGGTGGTTGGAATTTATTCTTATTTGTTCAAAAACCCTAAGAAATTAAACTGCTCCCTTACTTAGTAGTAATTGTTTTCTTTCTAGGATAATAGCCAAGGTTCTGGAGGACAACAAGCTGCCTGGTGCAATTTGTTCCATGACTTGCGGTGGAGCGGACATCGGGTAGGTCCATGATGGAGAATATCTTCTGGGGAAGGGCCCCAGGTTGACTGACTAGAGTCATCTTTACCAGAATAACTAAGCCCAGTTGCAGCTGAAGTGCTGACCAGGGAAGGGAAACCTGGGAATGCAGCTTCTTCATTTAAATTTATTGTTTTAAAAAACCACCATATAATTCACATACCATAAAATTATCTCTTTAAAAATGTACAGTTCAGTTGTTTTTAGAATATTCATTGTTGTACAACCATCACTGTTGTCTTATTTCAAAACATTTTGGGGTGGGGGGCCCCAAAAGAAACCTTGTAACTATTGGCAGTCACTTCCCATTCCCCTCTCCCTAGCGATCACTAAACTACTTCCTGTTTCCAGGGATATGCATATCTGGGACATTTCATAAGATCACATCATACAACATGTGGCCTTTGTGTCTGGCTTCTTTCACTGAGCATAATGTCACAGCCTCTTTTTAAACTGGAACTGACCATATAACTGCTCAGAACCATGATGAAAGAGGTTGTTATTACCGGCTTAGACTTTGATTAGGTGGGGTTTCATAGAGGTCGTCCTTTTTTGAAAAAATTATATTTTATTGATTATGCTATTACAGTTTTCCTGATTTTTTTCCCATTGCTCCCCTCCAGCCAGCACCCCTCACTCCTTCAGGCAATCCCACAACCATTGTTAATGTCCGTGGGTCGTGCGTGTAGGTTTTTTGGTGACTCCATTTCCTCTTCTGTACATCCCAAGGCTATTCTGTAACTACCTATTTATTTATACTTATTTTTTTTGCTTTTATTTAGTAGTAGTAGTATTTTTTAAATATATAATCTTTATTATATTTCTTTTCATTACCATTTAGTCCCTGTTTGTACTTCTTAATCCCCTCACCTCTTCTTCCATTCCCCCACACCCATCTGGCAACCATCAAAACACTTGCTGTATCCATGATTCTGTCTCTTCTTGTTTGCTTAGTTTGTTTTTTAGATTCAATTATTGATAAATATGTATTTGCCATTTTATTATTCATAGTTTTAATCTTCTTAAGTCCCTTTAACATTTCATATAAGAATGGTTTGGTGGTGCTTAGCTCCTTTTTTTTCTTGTCTGGGAAACTATCTGCCCTTTGGTTCTAAATGATAGCTTTGTTGGGTAGAGCAATCTTGGCTATAGGTCTCTGCTTTTCATGACTTTGAATATTTCTTGCCAGTCCCTTCTAGCTTGCTGAGTTTCTTTTGAGAAATCAGCTGACATCTTATGGGAACTGCCCTATAGGTAACTGATTTCTTTTCTCTTGCTGCTTTTAAGATTCTGTATCTTCAACCTTTGGCATTTTAATAATGATTTATCTTGGAGTGGGCCTCTTTGCATCCATCTGGTTTGGATCTCTGTTTCCTGGACTTGTATGTCTATTTCTTTCACCAAATGAGGGAAGTTTTCTTTTATTATTTTCCAAATAGATTTCCAGTTTCTTGTTCCTTCCCTTCTTCTGCCCCTCCTATGATGTGAATGTTGGACCTCTTTGAAGTCATCCCAGAGGCTGCTTCACTATCCTTGTTTTTTTGGATTCTCTTTTCTTCTTGTTCTGGTTGGTTGTTTTTTGCTTCCCTATATTCCCAATCATTGATTTCATTCTTGGCTTCTTCCACTCTACTCATTTCCCTGGAAATTGTTCATTATTTCAGTTAGTGTAGCCTTCATTTTTGAATGGCTTTTTTTTATGCTGTTGAGCTCCTCACTAAGTTCCTTGAGCATCCTAAAACCAGTGTTTTGAACTCTGCATCTCAGAGATTGCTTATCTCCATTTTGTTTAGTATTTTTTTCTAGAGTTTCGATCTGTTCTTTCATTTGAACCACGTTTCTTCATCTCCTTGTTTTGGCAGCCTCCCTGTGTTAGTTTCTATGTATTAGGCAGAGCTGCTTTGCCTCCATGTGTTGGTAGTGTGGCCTAATGTAGTAGGTGCCCTATAGGGTCCAGTGGCACAGCCTCCCCTATCACCCAAGCTGGATTACTCAAGGTACACCCTTAGTGTGGGCTGAGTACATCCTCCCTTGTAGTTGAGCCTTGATTGCTGTTGACAGGTGAATGGGAGGGATTTAGCCTGGCCAGTCAGCTGCAAGGACTGGCTGTGACCACTGACCACCATGCTTTGCCCTCTGTGGAAGATCAGCTGTGCAGGGGCAGGGTGGTGGTGCTCTGACATGATTTGTAGCTGTCCACTGGGGTTGCTGGCCTGGGGTTTTCAGGGTGTTGCAAGCCAAGGTCAGCCCCACCTGTGTTCTGCCCAAGGCCACTCTGCCTGGGCTATAAAGCCATCTTAGATGGCTGCTACTTGTGGTTGTCTTGGAGATTCCCAGGTGAAGCCAAGCTGTGAATCTAGGCTGACTGCTGCTAGTGCCAAGCCTTGGGCTCCCTCAGGCCAGCTGTGGCATGTTTGAAAGGATTTAGGAAATTGTACAGCCAAGACAAGCCATTCATAGGGAAAGCAGCTTGAGTGGGCCCAAAAGCTGGGTTGGGCAGAGTCTCTGGGGTTCTCTAAGGAAGGTCAAACAGTGTTAGCCAGGTTGATGGAGTGTCAGATATGGCACAAGTTTGCTGGCTGTGTGGCTCTGAGGAAAAAGTGTTTACAAAAGAAACAATGGGCTCTGCTCGCCTTAATGCCAGACACTTCAGTTTGTGCCCGTATGCCACTGATGCCTTTCAAGCTGCTACCCCAGTGCTAGAGGTCAGAGGGAGTCTGAGTAAATGGGTCCATGTGTGGTTTCTTTAAGAGGAACTGCTTGGGGCTCCAGAAGTTTCTTCTACTGACTTAATCCCCTCTTGTTTTTGCAGCCAGAAATTGTAGGGACTTACCTTTCTGGCACTGGAACCCTGGGCTGGGTGGCCTGGTATGGGGCTGGGGCTCCTTGCTTTGGAGATATCCCTACTGAATTTTTATTGTTATTTTTAAAGATTTTGTTTATTTATTTATTTTGGGTGGGGGAGGAAGAGGGAGAGAAACATCAATGTGTGGTTGCTTCTTGTTCACCCCCTACTGGGGACCTGGCCTGCAACCCAGGCATATGCCCTGACAGGGAATCAAACCAGCGACCCTTTGGTTTGCAGGTTGGCACTCAATCTACTGAGCTACACCAGCCAGGGCTCGAATTTTTATCCACCACTCGTGGGTGTCGGACTAGCTATTCCATATCTGTACCCCTCCTACCAGTCTGGATGGGTGTGGTTTTTTTAATTGTGTAGTTGTTAATGGAGTTGTGAACTCCATTCAACTCTATTTCTGATGGTTCTGAGTGATAGTTGTTCTAAATTTTCATGTGGTTGTGTGAAGAGGTGAGCCATGTCTGCCTATGCCACCATCTTGAGCGGATGTCCTTGAGGTCAAGTCTTATAACTTTTACTGGTGTGGTTTAAATGTTAGTATCCCTCTGTCACTTTTTTCATACTAGTCTTCTTACTGAGTGACCTCCAAAATGAGCAATTATTACTCCGTTGTTCTTTTTTTATAAGTGAAAAATATGTATGGTGTATTGTCTAAATGTCATTTACAACATGAGTAGTTTGTCCTTCTACCAACTCTTTTTTTGCCTTCTGGGCATCCAGTCCTTGGCTTTGACCTTAGAGTAGCTGCAGTAATTGCACTAGTGTGTAGGAGCGCATTAGGGAACAGCTGCCTTGGGTGTGGGTGCTCATGTTTGTTGGGCTGAGCCTGGGGAAGCTTGCATGGGTGAATTCATCAAGCTCTTCATGCCCCATGTAAGATTGATGCTGTGGCCACCCTGCTTGGCCCACACCAAGCTTTTGAAGCACCAGCTATGAGCAAAGAGGTTCAAATCATTAGTGTCTGGAAATCCTAGCACAGCCTAAATTTATAAGTCATCTTCCATGAGAGATACTTAGGATGTATCCTTACACTTTTTAGATTTTTAATTCTTAAAGGAATTAGTAGTTTAAGAATCTGCAAAATAACTGGGGTGCTCCTCAAAGAAATGCTAAGGTCACATTGTCTCTTCACCCATTCAGTATGGGAAGGACTTTCTTCCATAACAATGATTTCTGTTTGTAGAGAGCTCACAGCAGAGGTTAGCCTATTCTGTTATATGGTTCTACTTGTGAAAATCTAGTTCATTTTTAAGGAGACCTTCCCATGTTCTGTTGTAACTTTGCCTTTCTAAGAGTCCAAGTCAGGGCTTTCTGGCCAGTACCATTAGGTGGCACCATTTCTGGGTTTCTCTGCTCAAGTGACATTGTCCGTTGCCTTGCAGCACTGCAATGGCCAAAGATGAGCGAGTGAGCCTGCTGTCCTTCACTGGGAGCACTCAGGTGGGAAAACAGGTGGCCCTTATGGTGCAGGAGAGGTTTGGTAAGTGTTGGCTTTCTAATGAGGATTTTAATTCCCTCAGAGGTACAGATGTGAAATCTAAAAGTTGTTTTTTGTCCCATAGAGATACCAGTCATGTTTATTTGAGTGTCCAAGAAAAAGAAGGGTACAGTTATTAGTGGGTTCATATTAGGGCAATCACAAATTTAAATAGCATAGTTTGGAAAAGGATGTCATTTTCTCTCTAAATGACTACAGTAGTATCATATCAAATGTATTTATCAAATTCTATCAGACTTATTTGGCAAATTAAAAAAAGAAAACCCACAATTTAAATAGAGTCACTGAGTACAGGACCTATAGTGAATGTGGAATAAAAGATTTAAATGTGTGCTGTCATTTATATAAATATAGCTTTGTATGCTCTACTTTACGAGTGATTAAAAAAGATTTTTAAGGATAATACTGACTGTCAGGTTTTGGCAATCATGAATATAGACTTCAACAAGGGGGATTTGACTAGGTAATCTGCCAGCCCTTTTGCATTTTGGGCATTACTTTTAAAAGGCAAGTTTACAAAAAACTATTAGAGCTAATAAGGTCAGCAAGGATATAAGATCAATAAACAAAAATCAGTTATATTCTATACATTAACAGTGAACAATCTGAAAATGAAAAACATTCCATAAAATAGCATAGCATCAAAAAGAAGAAAATACTTAGTAAACTCAACACAAGATGTGTAAGTCTTTCACACAGGGTGCTATAAAGCATCATTGAAAGAAATTAAAGACTTAAATAAGAATAAAGTCATCCCAATTTCATGCTTTTGAAAAGTAAATATTGTTACTGCCCAAGATCGGTGTTGTGCAAGGGCCCTATAGACTGAATGCGGTCCCTTTCTAAATGTCGGATGTCGTCTCTGTGGAAGTTGATGAGCTGATCCTAAAATCACATGCGAATGCGAAGAACCCTGAATAGCTAGAATAGTCTTGGGAAAGAGGAACAAAGTTGAAGGACTCACACTACCTGATTTCAAAACTTAACTGCAACTGCACTAATGAAGACTATGTGGTACTGGCACAGGGATAGACAAAAAGGTCAAACAAATAGAACTAACAGTTCAGAAATAAACTCCTACCTTTATGGCCAAATGATTTTGACAAGGGTGCCAAGACATTTCAATGAGGGAAAAATGGTCATCTTAATAAATGGTGCTGAGTCAACTAGACATGCACATAAATGTGTGTGAAGTTGGACCTCTGCCTCACTTAGTGTGCAAAAACTGACTGGGTTGGACCCTCACCTCACCCGGTACACAAAAACTAACTCAGGATGTATCAAAGACCAAAACATGAGTTAGAACTATAAAACTCTTAGAAGAAAGCACAGGAGTAAGTTTTTATGACCTTGGATTAGGCACTGGTTTCTTAGCTATGACACTTAAAGCAAAAGCAGAAAAGGAAATAGTGATAAATTAGATTTCATCAAAATTAAAAGGTTTTGTGTTTCAGAGGACACCATTAAATAAAAAGGACAGCCTGTGGAATGGGAGAAAACATTTGCAAATCTTATATGATAAGGGACTTATATTTAGAAGATATAAAGAACTCTTACAATTCAACAATATTAGAGACAGGTAACCCACTTGAAAATGGGCAATGGTTTTGAATAAAAACTTCAAAGAAGATATACAACTGGCCAGCAACTATGTGCAGAAACACTCAAGATCATTAATTCCATGCTTCCCACCAGCAGATTTCCTCTTCTTATCCTTCTGTCCCCTTTTTAAAAAATGTATCAGCCTGTCTTAAGTTACAGGTGCTTTTCTTGGAGGGGTTAGCTGTAGGAGTGGGGGTAGGGAGCAGAGAGAATGGGAAGGGTGTAGGAAGTACCGTTCTTCTCTTCTGCCACAAAGTACTTGAAGCCAGGCAGGAGGAGCCGATATTAGGTATAGAATCTTCTGTTTCCCTCTCCTTTTTTGCCATCTGGAATAGTGCTCTTCTATAGCCAGAATTGTCATAAATCAACTGTTGCAGAGACTAGAGTTGACGTAGCATTCAGTGACTTTTGGTAAGAGCAGCCTTATCACCTTATAATTAACACTCACTGGATGCTTAGCGGGTTTAGAGCGGTGGAAGTGAGAGCATACTCTCTCCTGCTGTCACATTCACTCCTGATACCACAAGTAAATAAAAGGTATTTGCATAGAAGCTGATTTTAAAATGCATTTAAGGAAAATTAAATGTATGTCCCAAAGATGTAGTAAACACAGCTCTGAAATTGAGGCAAATAAATTTTAAATCTTATGCTGGGGAGTGTATGGTCAGAATGGCATTCAGAGTGGGCTCTGTAACTTGCCAGGAATGTAAGTTGGCCATATATGGAGTAGCCCTTATATGCATGCCCTTTGGCCCTGACCTAAGTAGGTATGAGGTAGATATTCAGCAATTGATATATTGAACACTAGAGAAGTAACTAAATAAAATTTGGTACATCATCATGATGGATACTGTGTAGTGATTAAAAAAAAGGCTCCTAATAATTTTAAGGAGAAGGTATAACATTAATCAGAAAACAAATCAAAGTTAATTTAGTTAGTGGTCTCTCAACTAAATATAAATGACCTTTTTTCCTAAATATAATAGGAAAAAAGATCAGAAGGCACTATAGCAAAGTATATAGAAAGATTTCATGGTGACCTTTGGGTCATAGGTTTTTCCTGCCTGATACATTTTGCTTTTTAAAAAAATAATTTTCTTTTTTAATAAAGATTTTATTTATTTATTTTTAGAAAGAGGGGAAAGGAAGGAGAGAGGGAGAGAAACATAAATGTGTAGTTGCCTCTTGTGTGTGCTTTACAGGTGCCTTACGGGGACCTAGCCCGCAGCCCAGGCATGTGTCCTGACTGGGAATCGAACCGGCCACCTTTTAGTTCTCAGGCTGGTACTCAATTCACTGAGCCACACCAGCCAGGGCTAAAAAAATAAATGTCTATAATGAGCACATACATTTTAAACTGTTTTTATTGTGGTAAAATATATAAAACATGAAATTTACCATTTTAACCATTTTTAAGTGTGCCATTCTATGGCCTTCAGCATATTTACATTGTTATGCAACCATCAACAACATCCATCTCCAAAATTTTTTTGTCTTCCCAACCGAAACCCTGTGCCAATTAAAAGCTAACTTCTGGCTGGCGTGGCTCAGGTGGTCAGAGAGTCATCTTATAGCCAAGGGGTTGCATGTTTGATTCCCAGTCAGGGCACATACCTGGGTTGTATGTTCAATGCCCCGTCCAGACATGTTTGGAAGGTAGCTGATGAATGTTCCTCTCTTACATGGTTGTTTTTCTCTCTCCCTTCCTCTCTCTATAAAAGCAATGAAGAAATGTCCTCAGGCCAGGATCAAACAAACAAACAAGCTCCTCATTTCTGCCTTCCCCCAACCCCTTGGCAACCATCATACTATTCTACTTTCTGAGTCAGTGGATTTGACTGATCTAGGAATCTCATATAACTAGAATCAGACAACATTTGTCTTTCTGTGACTGGTTTATGTCACTTAACATAATGTCTTCAAGGTTCATCCTTGCTTTAGCATGTGTCAGAATTTCTATTCTTTTAAAGGTTGAATTTTATATATATGCATGGTTTTTTTTTTATCCATTCATCCCTCAGTTGGACACTTGATTTACTTCCATCATTTAGTCATTATAAATAATGCTGTTGTGAACACGGGTGTACAACTATCTGTTTGAATTCCTGCTTTTGCTTCTTTTGGTTATGTACCCAGAAGTTCAATTGCTTGATTGACCATGTGGTAATTCTGTGTTTAATTTCTTGGGAAATTGCCATATAGTTTTCCATAGTGGGAAACATAGCATTTACACTAACCTGGGGTTTTTTGGACATACCATCAAACTTAGAGAAAAGTTATAACATACCCAAGTAATTTCTATACGCCTGTTGAACAGATTTACCAGTGCTTCCATTTTGCCCCATTTCCTTTATCATTTTCTCTCTCCAGGAACACACATGCATGCACATTGTGGTTGCATATTATGTTTGAACCATTTGGAGAACGTTGAGGACCTTGTGTTCCTTGACCACCAAATGTTTCAGTGCATTTTCTAAGAACAAGTACATTCTGTCATACAACCGCAGTCCAATTATTAAAATCAGGACATTTGATGTTGATGCAGTGTTCATGCTGTTTTAAATCAGGAAATAAATTAAAACATAATTGGGATAGGTTATGATTTGAGGCCATTTATCTCTTGCATTAAATACTAAAATAGGCATTCATTTGTGTTTATGTGTTTTTTAAAGGGAGAAGTTTGTTAGAACTTGGAGGAAATAATGCCATTATTGGTAAGGCTGCCCTTTGTTTTCATTTTGTCTTCCATTCAGAGTATCTTCAGTAGTCCTGAGTACATATACCCTGTTTAGGAACTCCTCTGTCCTGTGTTGTCTGTGCCAAGGCCTAATTCACATGTTTAAGAATTTTACTCATGAGACAGGACACAATGGTTTGAAGGCAGAGGTAACTAGGAAGGAACAGTGTTCATGTAAATGTAACCCGGGCTTAGAACCTGCGTGTGAGACTTCCTAACGTGGCCTTGTTTCTTGTTTTTCCTTCTCTTATTTTCTGAAAACTGGCCACGTGTGTCTCTAGAATGAGTAAGTAACTCTTATGTGACTTGTTGATTACCATTGGATTTCAAAAACACTAGTTTGTCTTTAGTGGAATATTTAGTGCTTTTATAACTGAGAAGGAATGCTTCCTTAAAGCATTTTAATCATTTATCTGTAGATTTCGATATTACTTCCGGTTTTCAATTATTTGGCACAAAAGGAAATAGTCTACTAATGTAACTGGATAATATAATGAATATCAGTAGTTTGAGACTTAGTAAAAGCATGCATTTTGTGATAAAAAGCAAAATTTACTAATTTGTATATTGCCATCGTTGTGTTTAAATGCCTATATGTGGCATACAGAGTTTAAAAAGTACATGGCAAAGAGTTTGTTTGAGATGAACTTCTAATCTAGTTAAAGAGAGAGTTCAAAAATACAGTTAGGACTTAGCACTGGGTATTTGCTAGGTACTGTGCTCCGCTCTTTCATGTGTGTTGTTTCATTTAATCCCCACAATAATCCCACAAGGGAGATACCGTGAAGAGGTGGAGGAACGAATGAACTCAAGTATAGAGAAATTTGGTTTTGCATTGATGTCTTTAGAGGAACAGAGGAAGCAGAAAAGGGCCCTTTGTGTGTGATCATTTTGAGATTTTTTTCCTAAGTGGGGTAAGGTAATCTGGTGTAGGAGTAAAGAGCTTGAGGGGTCTCACAGATTTGGAAACATTTCTGTAGAGAGACAACAAGAGGCATTTAAAGGTGTGGACCAATGCAGGTGAGGATTTGGATGTTAGAGAGCGAGTCTGATGGTGGTGATAATCAGAAGCTTCCCATCACTCTCTCTGTAGGCCCAGGGAAGGTGGCATCAACATGGGCCTTGGGGTTCAGACTAGAGGCAAGTAAAGCTGACAGGAAGGATGAGGTCTTAGAGAAGGGACTACAAGGAGGCTACAGAGGAGGCTTACTCAGTATGAGAAACTTTGAGAAATGAAAGATGAGGAGGTCAGAGGAGCGAGGGCCTCCATGTACATCTGTACTTGGATGAAGACCATAGGGCTCTATTCTCACATAATTTTCTCTGGATGAAGAGTGGCCTCTGCAGTGTGAATGTGCTTATTTTACAGGGATCATTCTATACTCTTTTACTGCAAGTCCTGTAGTAAAGGCTTCAGTTATACCAGTTAGCAAGTACCTTGTCTGCCTGCTTCATGGCACTGATGGGTGTGTGTTTGTGCTTCTCTAAGCCTTTGATGATGCGGACCTCAGCCTAGTCGTTCCTTCAGCTCTCTTCGCCTCCGTGGGGACAGCCGGCCAGAGGTGTACCACTGCGAGGCGCCTGGTGAGTGTGTCTGTGTAGTCACGTGAGCTTGTCCTGCACTTCGGTCACCACTTTCTAACCAATTGTATAGGGAGGTGTCATAGAAGTATTGTTAGAAACATGGACTTCCTAGATGTGGTTGGCAAATGTGTGGCCCTATTCTCTCTTCTCCGCTCATGGCACGTGTTGCCAGTCAACCAGGGATTCGCTCTGATTGGTTGGACTTGGACTGGGAGTTGAGGCCATTTTCAGTCCCTCACTCAGATCAATATGAACAAAGTCCAGTGTCACTGAGAGATTAAAACAAGCTAAATATTTGAAAAATTTTAAAACTGTCAGCTGAAAGATAGACAGCCTTGTTTTTCTTTTTTTAATTTTAAATAGAAATATTTAAAGACTTTAATTTTTGGGCTATAACTCAAGTCTCAGATTTGACTTGATGTGACATGGCTTAATGAAAAGCAAATGACTCTAGGTATGTTGATTTTTCTCTGTTTATAATAAACAAGAGGTTGTTTAGTTTCAGCATATGGTTTAGTTTCAGGGTTTGGGATATTTAATCTCCACACTTAGATTTGGCTGGATTTCAGTTTTGTGTCAGATATAGCCTTGATTTTCATGGCTCACACGGTACTGCAAAACTGTGAGTGCTATAGCCAGGCAGGTTTCAGTTAGGTACAAAATTTGGCTACATTTGCCAGTTTTAAATGATTAGTGTTTTCTTTCTGTTTAATTAAGAAAGCAGTTTGAAGTTGAATTACAGGGGAGTTGGCTTTGGGTTTTACTGTCATTCACAGTGAGTGTGAACAAATTCTTCATAAGGTTGGCATAATCTAAATTGATGAAAATAAGATAAAAGATATATGGAATTAGTCTTTACTTTTCCCATCACATTTTGTATTCATTTTTTCCTGTATTTTACAACAAATGAATCTTTCCTTTTTTAATCATTACTCTGTTGAAGTTCTCAAAAAAAACCCCTAAGATACAGTGTTCATAAAGTATTTATAATTTATTAAATTTATTCACCTTAAACATTTATTATATTAATGCTAAGAAGAAAATCAATTTTTTAAAAATGATTATAATCGTAATTACATGGCAAATATGAAATGACATAAAAGAAGCATTTCTCTATGCAACCAACTTTTTCTTTGTATCTTAGAGCAAATACACGTATTCATGTTTTATATTTAGTGTTAAAAATTAGACCACATTATTAGCCATTGCCCAAGATCAATTTCCATAGGAACAGTAAAGTAATAGGTAGAAAAATCCTTTGCAGCACTGCAGACCTTCTCATAACTAGTTCTCATAATGCCAATGCGTTCGCCACATGGAGACCAACTCAGAATAGATGGCTTGACAAATTCACCTCCACCACTGGGAACATAGCATGGAGCTCACATCCTACCCAGAGTGAGTCCAGTGCATGTCCTCACCTGATTAAGGCCTCACTCTAGAGACCTAGTCGGCCTGAGGTTAAGAGCATATGGTTACACAGCAGCAGAGGTAGGCTGACCAAATCGTGGTGGGATGTATTCACCATGACTCATACAGTTATAGTGTGGGATAGTTATGCTTGAGGTTTTCTGCTTCATAAGATGTTGAATGCTCTAGAAAAAAAAAGACATAATTGATTTGTAAAGCTTACTCAAACAGGTCCTTATGGAATTGATAAAGACTTGTCTTAGACCTCCAGTCAAGATGGCGGCATAGGTAAACACAGCTCATCTCTTCACACAACCACATCAAAGTTACAACTAAAATATAACCAGCCATCACTCAGAACTGTCAGAAATCAAGCTGAATGGAAGTCTGACAACCACAGAATTAAAGAAGCCACACCCATCCAGACTGGTAGGAGGGGTGGAGACAACAAACGAGCTGGCCCCACATCCATGTGTGATGGATAAAAATCCAGGAGGAATAGAATAGGAGCAAGGAGTCCCAGCCCCACACCAGGCCCCCAGCCCAGGGTTCCAGTACCAGGAAGATAAGACCCCATAAATGCTGGCTGCAAAAACCAGCAGGGATTGAGTTGGTGATATAAACTTCTGGAGCCCTAAACAGTTCCCCTTAAAAAACCCATACATACTGCAAAAACAAAGCAAAACAAAACCCCAAACACAGTCTTATTCAGAGTCACTCCCTATGAGCTCCAGCCCTGGGGTAGCAGCTTGAAAGGCACCAGGGAGGAATTGGAGTGTCTGATATCAAGGCGAGAGCTGAGGGATAGCTTTCTCCCAGACAGAAAGGTGGTCAGGGACTGTTGTCCCATTTCTGAACCCTCCCTCCATACAGCCACAAAGCCAGCAAGCAGGTGTCATATCTGAGACTCCATCAACTGGCTAACACCATTTTTCCTACCCTGGAGATCCCCAGATTCCATTGAACCCAACATATGGGCCCACCCAACTTACGGGTCCACCCAGACTGTTAATTGTGATTTTTTCATATGAATGGCTGGTCTTCTTTCATGCTTCACAACACCATAAATCCTCTAAAAAAGGCAACAGCCTGCCTCAGTGAGCCCCCAGCTCCCATACCTCTTGGGAAGTGGCCCTAGGCCCAAGCACTAGCAGCAGCTAACCTAGATTCAATCTTCGCTTTGCCTGTGAATCTCCAAGCCCAGCACAAGTAGCAGCCATCTCAGATTGCTTTATAGCTCAGACAGGGTGACCCCGGACAAAACACAGGGATGCCTGACCTTGGCTTGCACCACCTGGGAAACCCCAGAGCCTGGGGTGGAAACCCCAGAGCTGTCTACCCAGTGGACAGCTACAGACCACACTGGAGCACCACCACCCTGCTTCTGCACAGCTGATCTTCCACAGAGGGCAAAGCATGGTGGTCAGTGGTCACAGCCAGTCCTTGCAGCTGACTAGCCTGGGTACATTCCTCCCACTGACCTGCCAACAGCAATCCAGGCACAACTCGAGTAACCCAGCTTGGGTGATAGGGGAGGCTGTGCCACTGGACCCTATAGGGCACCTACTACATTAGGCCACACTACCAACACATGGAGGCAAAGCAGCTCTGCCTAATACATAGAAACTAACACAGGGAGGCTGCCAAAACAAGGAGATGAAGAAACATGGTTCAAATGAAAGAACAAATCAAAATTCTAGAAAAAATACTAAACAAAATGGAGATAAGCAATCTATGAGATGCAGAGTTCAAAACACTGGTTATAAGGATGCTCAAGGAACTTAGTGAGGACCTCAACAGCATAAAAAAAGCCATTCAAAAATGAAGGCTACACTAACTGAAATAATGAACAATTTCCAGGGAAATGAGTAGAGTGGAAGAAGCCAAGAATGAAATCAATGATTGGGAATATAGGGAAGCAAAAAACAACCAACCAGAACAAGAAGAAAAGAGAATCCAAAAAAACAGGGATAGTGAAGCAGCCTCTGGAATGACTTTAAGAGGTCCAATATTCACATCATAGGAGGGCAGAAGAAGAGAAAGAGCAAGAAACTGGAAATCTATTTGAAAAAATAGTGAAAGAAAACGTCCCTAATTTGGTGAAGGAAATAGACATGCAAGTCCAGGAAGCACAGAGAGTCCCAAACCAGATGGATGCAAAGAGGCCCACTCCAAGATACATCACAATTTTAATGCCAAAGCTTAAAGCTAAAGGGAGAACATTAAAAGCAGCAAGAAAAAAGCAGTTAATTACCTACAGGGGGATTCCCATAAGACTGTTAACTGATTTCTCAAAAGAAACTCAGCAGGCTAGAAGGGACTGGCAAGAAACATTCAAAGTCATGAAAAGCAGGGACCTACAGCCAAAATTGCTCTATCTAGCAAAGATATCATTTAGAATGGAAGGGCAGATAAAGAGCTTCCCAGACAAGAAAAAAAACTAAAGGAGTTCAGCACCACCAAACCATTATTATATGAAATGTTAAAGGCACTTATTTAAGAAAAAGAAGATCAAAAGTATAAACAATAAAATGGCAATAAATACATACCAACAATTGAATCCAAAAAACAAACTAAGCAAACAAGAAGAACAGAGACAGAATCATGAATATGGAGAGTGTTTTGGTGGTTGTCAGATGGGTAGGGTGTGTGGAGGAATGGGTGGAGAGGTGAGGGGAATAAGAAATACAAGTGTGTAGGTACAGAATAGCCATGAGAATGTAAAGTACAGTGTAGGAAATGGAGTAGCCAAAGAACCTACATGAATGACCCATGGACGTGAACAGTGGTGGGGGGATTGTCTGAGGGACTGGGGGTGCTGTGTGGAGGAGGGTAAAAGGGGAAATATTGGGACAACTGGAATAGCATAATCAATAAAAAAAGACTTGTCTTATGATTTTATTCTAACATCCACCTAGAGAAAATTATTATCTTTATGTAGTTAAATTTAGAGATTATATAATTAAAAAATAAACATACTTCTGTTTGCACATTTAGAGATCACAATAGTTCAAAATTGTATGAACTATAAATCAGTATTAGGAAAAATTGTACATTGTTAACAAATTTGTACATTTATTTGACTATTCCCATGTATATTTCTTTTGCTCTTAGTTTTTACATGAAAGCATCCACGATGAAGTTGTAAATAGACTGAAAAAGGCCTATGCGCAGGTCCGGGTCGGGAACCCATGGGACTGTGAGTATCTGGTGGATTTCACATGTGTTCCTTTTTGATAGCTGCTGTTACAAGTGTTTATGATCTTTCCCCCCTTCCCTGAGAGGAGTCTGGGCATGCAAAGCAGGTAATAGGACATTTAAGGTGCCGGGTCTGCTTCTGGGTGAGGATCTTGAGTGTTGATGTGGTCTGGGGGATGAGTTTGGCGTTGGTGCTGAGATTGGATGATTTTGGTGAGTTTTTTCCTCTTCATTGTTATTACCCTTGTCTAAGCCTTCACCCTCTTCTCTTGTCAGTCTTCTCCAGGCTGACTTTCCTGCTTTCACTTCTGCCTTCAAGAGTGACCAGAGTGATTTTTTAAAATGTAATTAGATTAGATAATTCACTCTCCTACTTTAAATACTCCAGTGACTTTCTTTGTTTTTCTACTAAAATCAAGGTTTTTTACTCCTCCTTTAGCAGGCTCACAATCTGTGTGATCATCAGGGTCACACAGATTGTGCCTCTCCCCTTTACCCTCTGTCCTCCTGCCTACCTTTGCCCCTGTGTTCCCTGAGCTCCAGCTTTTCCAACCTCCTTTCATGCTCCAGGGCTCGAAGGCTCTGTCCTGTTGCTCTCAGTGCTGGAAATGCTCCTCACCCAGCTCTCCCCACCACGGGCTTCCTGCTGCAAGGCCACTTCCTCCCTGAGGCCTGTCTAGGTCTCACTTCTCCCCCTTTTCCCCAGGTAACCTATCTGCTCTGCTTCCTGGCAGCCATACATAGGGCGGCATCAGTCTTCCTCTATAAATTGTACACCAGCTGCTAGGCCTACAAAGTTCTTAGAGAGTGATCACACTGCAGTGAATGAACAGGTGCTGTGTTTTTAACACGGCACTCTGATTAATGAATCTAAACCAAGGTTGACAAATTTGGCCTGCCACTTGTTTCTGTAAGAAAGTTTATCAGCACATGGCCACACTACTCGTTTACCTATTTTCTGTGGCTGCTTTCACACCACAGTGGCCAAGTTAAGTGATTGTGAGGGACCACACATGTCAGGCAGAGCATTACACATTTACTGTCTGTCCCTTTACAGAAGGTCACAGACTCCCGTTCTAAAGTGAAGGGCTGCCTGAAGGGGTTGGTCTGTTCATTGGGAAAGCTGTTATAATAATAAAATGATGCTACTTAGGGTAAAATGAGGAATATTCCTTTTTCTCTCCAGCTAATGTTCTCTATGGGCCACTACACACCAAACAGGCAGTGAGCATGTTCCTTGGAGCAGTGGAGGCAGCAAAGAAAGAAGGAGGCACAGTGGTCTATGGCGGCAAGGTAATGAAACCTCTGGGCCCAAGCAGGGCTCTGGGCAAATTGGTGAAAGTCCCCAACTCTGGTGTCTTTCTTCTCTCCTCCCTTTTGTAAGGGGGAAATACGTGTTTTGAAGAATGACCATGTAAACTGCATGGAAAATTTCTGGAAGGACACACAATTTCAGCCATGGTTGCCTTTGAATTGAGTCTCTAGGAATTTATATGGAGGGGGGGACCTTTTCATGATATAGTAGAAGACTTTGTATTCAGACTAATTAGAATTCATATGTAATGGTTATTTTAATAGGTCAAATAAAACAGGGAATAAAAAAACATACACCAAAAGCATTTTAATTTAACACAGATAACTACATTTGATTCTTTGGATGGAATCAAAGCATTTTCTTCACGTGTGGTAGGAATTTGTCTTCATCCTTGCAGAAGCTGTACCAATAATTTATTGTCGACATGTTAGTTTCAGTTTGGTCAAAATTCACTGAGAACTGAGTTTCTTGTGAAGCTGAGAGAAGACTCCTTCTCTCTAGTCATCTTAATCACTGACATAGCCACATTTCATTGGACAGCGTGGGTATGAATATTTATGCGTCTGTTTTTTACTTTTGTTGAGTTATTTTCTGAAACATTCCACTTAATTTTTATGGAAATAGCTCTTTTTTCTTTTGTATAATATTTAAGTTTTGCAACACAGTATAGCATTACAATAACAAATACAGCTGCCGTGCTCAAGATCTGAAGTGAAGACAGTTGACTCTTGGTAAACATGCAGCTCAGAGGGCGAGCGCAGAGGTACACAGGCACCAGGAGGGTCAGCCAGCAGCCAGAGCAGCTGGCCGTGGGCATCAGTATGGTACGGAAGGAGAAGTAGGTATTAGGTAATAAGTGGACATGAGCTAGTAATTTGGTTACATGGAGGCTGGTTAGGAGTGTCTACACTATATCCTTTTGGAGCTTTTAATTTTTGTATAATATATATTAGTTTGCTGTGGTTATCATAATAAAAGATCATAGACTGGATGGCTAAAACAACAGCAATATAATATTTTTCTCACAGTTATGAGGATTGGAAGTCTTAAAAATCAAGGTGTGGTGGGGTTGGATTCTGGTGAAGCCTCTATGTCCGGCACAGAGTGTCCTCACATGGCCTTTCCTCCGTGCTTGAAGAGAGGAGGCCTCTGGTGTCTCTTCCTCTTATTAGGACATTAGTTCTGTGGGATTCGGTCCCTACCCATGTGACCACATTTAACTTCCATTACCTCCTTTAAGGCCCTGTCTCCGAATTCAGTCACTATGTGGTTAAGGTTTCCACATATGAATTTAGAGGTGGGGGATACAATGTAATTGATAACACAGTGGGTATAGATTACCTATTTTAAAGTTATATAAATTTTACAATCATCACTGTGACTTTTTTCAATGCTACTTGGTTGTAACAAATGGCATAGCTCTCCATCCTTGATTCCTATTCCTTTCCTATTTTTCTCTGACCAGGTTAGAGCCAATAGGAGGTGGAGGAAGTTTATTATGTTCATGATGGGAAGTTATTTTGCAGAAACAATTTACTTAACATGGTGTTGGCTTTTGTCACAAGTATAGGCAAACACTCTGTCCTCTGACCACGAGTGCTGGAATACAAAATGCTTTCATTGTCTTTATTTCATCTCTCTACTGCAGGTTATGGATCGCCCTGGAAATTATGTAGAACCGACAATTGTGACAGGTCTTGCCCACGACGCATCCATTGCACACACAGAGACTTTTGCTCCAATTCTTTATGTCTTTAAATTCACGGTAAAAATGGGTTCTTTCTCTCTTTTCTCTAGTCTCATGTTGAAAGAAACGAGAAGACTGGGAGAAAATGAAGGTGTATTAAATTTTACTCGATTCACCTTTAGGGAGGTCTTAGAAAGTCATTTTGATTAGTATAAATTTGACCGTTGTGGCTAAACTATGATGGGATGAACACTTCAAACTACAGAGCATGCCACGCTGGCTGCCTGGGAAGCCGGGTGAGCAGGGAACCGATGCTGCAGTTTATGGAGAAGGTGGCCCTCACTTCCTGTATCACCTGGTTCTGAGCTGTGTGCGCCAAAGATTGGGCTTCTCTGCAGAAGAACTAGATAGTTTGATAGTCTGAGAGCTACATTTCAGCAGACAGAATGGGAAGATAAAGGGCAACCTAAAGATCTACAGTTACAATCTGTGTGAGGACAGATGGGCTGTGGAGGTTTTAACAGAGGAAGGTAACTAGAGGGCCTCCTTCCCTGGCATGGGACAGGCCCTCACTGTGCCAGAAAATATTTAGAGGCTCATTCAGAGTTTGACTGTACCGTGATTCACAGTCAAAGAATCATGAGAATCATGCCTTGTTGTTACTACATGATCGTATTTTTTAAAATCTTGCTTTAAATTGTCTATCACTGTTTCCAATATGGTGACTAGAGAGTATAATTTCATGTTTTGTAATGTGTGTTTGTGTGACTGTGAGCTCTTGAGCAAACAATGTAGCCTCTCTGTGCCTGCTTTGCCCAATCTGTAAATTAGGGATAATAGAAAACCTGTGCCGTAGAGTGAGGATTACCTACCTGAATGCATGCTGAGTGCTCAGGTCAGTGTTTGTAATAAGAGCTCAAGAAATATTAGCTGTTATATGTGATAGCTTGAATAGAAGAATGTACTAGAAGAATAGAAGATCTTAATTGTCCTTAAAGCCCAATTAGGGAGAAAACCCCACAAAGGCACTGTATAAGCAAAACAGAGTTAGTCAGATGTTGACCCCGTAGTTCCCTTGTTTTGCCCTAAAATCATACTGGCACATCTCATAAAGTGAGTTCAACGTTTGTAACTTTGACCTGAACACTGTATCAGGTAACAGCTTCTAACGTCTGCCCTTCCAGAATGAAGACGAAGTCTTTGCGTGGAATAATGAAGTAAAACAGGGACTTTCAAGTAGCATCTTTACCAAGGACTTGGGCAGAATCTTCCGCTGGCTTGGGTATAACTTTGTTTATTTAAAAAAACCTGTGTGAGTCTGATTTGTGTGGTGAGATACTCTTCTTTTAAAAAAAAGAAAATGGAACCATCATACTTGAAAATCCATTTTTCGGCATTGAGGGTCTTAGAGGTTTTGTTTGGATTTTGTTTTTTACTTTCCCATACGTTGCTCTCACCATGTCTCCCTTTTTACCCACAGACCAAAAGGATCGGATTGTGGCATCGTAAACGTCAATATTCCAACGAGCGGGGCTGAGATCGGAGGTGCCTTCGGTATGTAGAAAATCGTCGTTTTGTTTTCCATGTTGGGCGGTGTGTGTTAGTCTGCTAGGGCTGCCATTACAAAGTACCACGGGGTGGTGGCTTAACTGAAATTAATTTTCTCATAGTTCTGGAGGCTGGAGCTCTAAGATCAAGGTGTTGACGAGTTTGCTTTCTTGCTGGCTTACAGATGGCCACCTTCCTCTGGAGGCCTCACGTGGCCTGTTTTCTGTGCAGACATCCTTGGTGTCTCTTCCTCTTATAAGGACACCAGTCCTATTGGCTGAGGGCCCTGACTTTATGACTTCATTTAACCATAATTACCTACTTGAGGACCCTATTGCCAAATACAGCGACATTCTGAGCTGTTGGAGGCTAGGCCTTGAACATACTCACGGGGCAGGGGAGGAAGAGTAGGGAGACAATTCAGTTCAGAACAGGCAGTGGAGGAAAAGCAGTAGTAATCAGGAAACGTAAATAACAGCTGTATCTGGTCTAACCTTCTTGAGGAAGTCTATGCTCCATGTTCGGAGTCCTGTCTAGGGTCCTTCCTCTCATTCTCAGATGCAGGATCACCCCGGAGCAGGGCCCTCACCTGAGGGGTGCGGACCCTGAAAGGGTGGCATCTGTTTCCTGGGGAGAGGGTTCAAGACCCCAGAAAACATTAAAAACCCTTGTTTTAAAGCCAGAAAAATTCACCCCCCAAATTCTGGATTTTATTGGCAAAGTGGGCATAGTATAGGTTAAACATTATCTTTCATTTTAGATAAAATACTAAGTTGTTTCTTTTCACTGAGCCCTGTTTCTATTTTGTCTTTATGCTTTGAGTTCTTAGTGCTTAACCTTAAGTGATAGCAATAATTAAAAAAAAAAACTGTTCCCAACAATCATTTATTGTTTTACTTATTGAAAATGATCATACAATATACAGATGCTGTACTATAGAATTGTATACTTGAAACATATAATTTTATTAACCAATGTCCCCCAATAAATAAAAGATGATCCAAAATACAGTAAAAACAGATTGCCTTTAAATATATAAAGAAGCAAAACCAACATTCATTAATACTTGTAAGAGTTTAAATAATTAGGGGCATTCTTTCATCTCCTTCAGACCGAATGCTGTAATTACTACCCAGTGCGCACAATTTGACAGAAGGTTTCTGCTTTCAGTTCAGCCCTTCACTCTTGCCCTCCACTATTTCGTGGCCTGAATGTGTCTGTCTGTCCTTCTGTAGCCCTTTAATCCTTGTGGCTAGCCCATGCCTTCTCTTTCCCATGGACTCCTCTCCATCTCAGCCCTCACAGTTAATTTTTTAAAAAAGTCTTAGAGTGGAAAAAGCAGTTTTGCCCCCACTTTCCTCTTTTCCCAGAGGCAAATACTTTGAGATTCTTACTAAATGAAAAAAGTAATTTACCTCTGAATTTACTTTAATTTTTCTAAATAGGGTGCTTTATTGCATTCTTTCACAACCTGAGATATTATGTATTGACCCTCTGCTGTACTAGATTAACCTTCTCAAGTTTTCTCTTTTTCCCTTTAACTGATACGGCATTAGTGTGTGGGGTGAGGTCCAGAGGAAACCAGGAACAAGCTTCTAAGATTCTTCTCCAGTGGCGTCACAAATTGTGACAAGCGTAGTCCACCCACCAGGAAAACTCGTTAAAGACGCCACACCAAAGGTTTTTACTGGGGGCGAGTCACAGTGGCATCCTCAGCTGAGCAGAAGGAAAGCAGGTGTTTAACACAAACCACATTGTTTGTGCAAAAGCAGTTCAGACCCAGTGAGACACCTGAGCATTTAGGGAATGTTTTCTGTGGGCAGGGAACTGTGTAGCGGCCAAGTCCTGATGCCAGCAGCATTGCGGGCAGCCCTGCTACCCCTTTTCTGCAGCTTTGTAAGAGTTTTTCCTCAGACTTTTGAAACTAATTACCCATTTGTCTTCTGGTTTACGGTGTTGTGATTGAAAAGCCCAATCCACTTTGGTTTCTGACCTTTTTTTCCCTGTTTCAAAAAATATTGGTTGTCCTATTTACTCGTTATGTCTGATGTTCTGAAATTTCACAGGAATATGCCCCAATGGAGATCTTTGTAAAAATATTTGGTGGACACTCAGTGGCCAGTGATTGGCCTTAGAATATTGGGCCTCCTAGTTTCAGTTCTGATTCTGCTTTGGTAGTGTTTGTTTGACAATTTTTTCCCTTTGATTTTCTCTATTTTAATTTCTAGAACTCCTATTATTTAAATGTTGTCTCTTGAAAAATTGTCTGATTTTGTTATCTTTTCCCTCATTTAAATATCTTTATTTTTTACATGGGAAATTTCATCAGATTTTTCTTGTCCTTCTATTAAGTATTTTCTCCTCTACTCTTATTAAATACAACATTGAAACTTACTTATCGTGCTTTGATGGCACACTTTTAAAGAGTGTCCCTTTGTTGTTCGTGGATTCACTATCTTCTTACAACCTCTCTAAGTATGTTAATTTAACATCTAAAATGTCTTATTATAGAAATAGTTTATGTACATTGTAGAAAATTACATATAGAGAAGCATAAATGAGAGAATAAGAACATATTTCCACTGTCCAGGGGTTCTATTCTTAACATCTTGGTCTAATGATATGGTTTTTTTAAAGGTTCTCTTCTGCTGCCTGACACATTCTGTTTCCTCTTAATTCCTTCCACTTTCCCTCTGATTTTTATGTTTATGTTCATCTCTGTCTTTTATTTGTTTGCAAAGGAAACTATGGGCTAAATGTAAAGGAAAGGAGCGGCTCAGGTCCCCCGGTCTCCTTTCGGTGTCCTCAGCTCAGGGACACTGAGTGGGAGCCCACGCAGAGGGGAGCAGCCCCAGAGCTGGGGTGTGAGCCGAGTTTGTGTTTCTCTAGGGGGAGAAAAGCACACCGGCGGTGGGCGGGAGTCGGGCAGCGACGCCTGGAAGCAGTACATGAGAAGATCTACGTGGTGAGCAGGGGCTCTGGGGGGATGGGCCGGACTCAAGGCTGCTGCAGCGTGCTTTTGCGCTTTTCTCCTTTCCGCTCTGTTTTTAGGCGTTTGCGTTTAATTTTATTTTTCTAATGTTCCAAACTCTCTCCTCCCAGAGTATCCATTTTTTTGCCCCTTCTTGTCAAGCCCCAGATAGTGCCCAGTGCCCGGCTGTGAAACCGTCTGGTCAGTGGTTTCTACCTAGAGACAGCACAGGAACAGGACACTTGGGGTGGGGGTGTCAACCGGCAGAGGTGGGTGGAAGAGGCTGTCCTTTCTGAGTTTTTTCCTTGGGTGTAGCTGCCACCCTTGCAGACCGAGGAATCAGAAGGAGATGGAGCTGGGCAGGGGGCTGGGGGGTTGTGGGCCTGGCTAGCAAGCTGGGGGATACCAGCCCTCAGAATAGTGTTCATGACCCTTGAAAGCTAGTTAGCTCATTCACCCAGCACGTGGTAGTTAGTGAGGAAGCTGGCTTCTAGGAGATTTTGACTAGGAGTAGTTTCTTTTACTTGAATTCTGTTTCTCCTCCTTGGGTGGAAAGAGCTTTACCCAAGTGCAGTAAAACAGTGTGGGGCTCAGGCCCATGTGCCCTTATGTTGTAGAAAGAGCGCAGGGTGAGGGACCAAGGACACCCGTCCTCGTCCCATTTACTCCTTCTTACTAGCTCCCTAGCCTCGGGCGGGTTTCTCGACCTGGGCTCCTTTTGTGGTCACAGCTACTTTCTGTCCGTCAGAAATCTCTGAGGGGCTTTTGGCCATGGCTTGTTAAGTCTCCAGCATGTACACTCTCTGCCTGGTTTTTGTTCTTTGAAGTCATTTACGTTCCTTTACTTTCCTTGAGCACTGTGGATCTACAGTGGAAAACTTTTAGCTCTGGCCTTTGGGAACCTGTTTAATGCGACATTTTTCCTCTTAGGAGAAAGATGAGATCATTACCAGATAACTGACAGATAGGGAAGCTTTTATTTTCTAAATTATTACAGTTCTTATTTTTATCAAAATGAGATCTGTTTTTTCTGCTAATTCAGTACCAGTTATTGAGAGATAGAAAGAAAATTGTTCCAGTCCCATAGTCTTGTGCCCTGATAACTATGAAAAACATGGATGCTCTGTGTCTTTCCAGATTTTTCTGTTTTTCTCTTCTTTTTAAATATTTTATAAAACTGGATTTATACTAATAATGTTATGTATCCTATTTTCTTCACCAGTGTGTAACGTGGGCATTCCACCTTGTTAATGTATATAGATATCTACATTTTTTAAAGGCATAAGAATATTCTGTATATATATATATACTACCCTTCATTTAATTTTGTTTATTTTTTTTTCTCTCTCTAGTACCATCAACTACAGTAAGGACCTTCCTCTGGCCCAAGGAATCAAGTTTCAGTAAAGGTGTTTTAAATTGACATTACTTCAAGTCTTTTAGGTTTTCTTGCATCTCTTTCTTCTGAAGAAGACAGAAAATTAAGATTTGCCCTGAATAAATGCATCATTTGGAGTATGACAGTGGCTAATCCTTTATGTCCCCAAGGTCCTGACTAAATCAAGAGACTTATTTTTAAAAAGTAAAAGTTGTCATATGGTATAGCCATATTTAGTAAAAGATAGAAAAATGCATTTTTATGTTACAAGTAGTTACTAATTTTCTTGAAGTTTATAATTATTTTATAATTTAGACAAAATACTTACATGCTATGCTAGGAATTTGGAAAAACACAGAACCTAACGGAGAGGAAAATAGAAGTCTTCTCAGTAGATGCAGGAACATCTCCTGAGCAAGTAACAAATTCTCCGGTGAGAGTTGATTCACACTGCCCTCTTCCAGCCTGTGTTGGGGAGGGTCTGGTTGACAGGGAGTACATCCCTTCTATGGAGGGGGCCATACAGCACATCATCTGTGGAATGCCTCTCTCTGTTAAATATGACTAAGGTATTCGTCACTATTACGACTTTTCCTGCCCATGATGGCTTGTGTCACCCACAGAAGAAATTTGTGGGGTGGATGTAGATACCACTCCTGCCATAGCACCTGCACCTGCCATGCACTCTGCCTGTGTAGCTTCAGTAGAAAGAGTCTCTGGATTTCTCACGCAGCCTTCAACCGTTTGTTTAGCTGGTAGGCTTCTGCAGTTGCCCTTGGGTTTGTTCTTGGAGGATAGCCACAGTGTGTGGCAGCATGTGTCTGTCAGACTGAAGTCAGCAGAGGTCGCTGTCTCTGCTGAGAGTCTGCTTCTTTCCTTGAGGAGCTGCCCAGCAGCCTTTGGAGTGGGTCCACCCAGGGGCCCTGAGGAACTCGGACTGACCCATGCAGCCCTCCTCTTCCTGGCAGTCTGCGCTCCCCCGATGGGCAGGCACCAGCTGGACTCCTGTCAGATTGGACTGGGGCAGAAGCTTTGAAGATGACATTTGTAGATGACCTAATGCATCAGGATGTATGGAGAGATTTTCACAACTGGCAGAGTTTGGGGGTTGTGATAGAGAAGCAAGCAAATGAAAAAAACTAAGCAATTACAAATTTATCAGGGAAAGAGAGGTCCCGTGTTCCATGGCCCAGTGTGACTAGTGGTCACCTGGGTGTGTAGTTGTCAGCCTTGAATGTTCATCAGGCCGAAGGCTGATGATGAGCCTTCTGAGAGCATGCTGGCAGGAAGAAGGCAGGGGTGAGGGTAGGTTAGAAAGGCGACAGTTCCTTATGTTCTGTAGTGGAGAGTCTGTAATACCTAAATTCAAAGTAGCAACCTGGGCTTATAAAGATAGGCAAATTCCAAATCATTGCTTCAGGGGAGGGCAAGGGGGGTGGGGCATGGAGACAGGGCACATTGCTGCTTCTCATAACTAGTCCTGTAGAGCTATTTGAGTGTTGAATGAAGAGGCTGTATAATTTTGATTAAAAATTTAAACCAAGGAAAAGGAAATGATGTTGGAAAACCCCGCATCTCCAGACGCCCTTCGCTCCATCCTGCTCCCCCAGGCACAGGCATGCACACCCGGGACCCTGTTTCCAATGTCTCGTGAAATGATCTCGTGATCATTTCCTTCCATTTTTTTAAGAGTTTGAAACAGACTATATTATCTTATATTAATACACATATACTTTTTAATATAAGTGGTTGCTTAAGAAAATCATGCAAATTGGACATTTACTCTAAAAATCTTACTGTGGCTTTTCTTTGTAAGTTGCAATGCTAAGTGTTCCATCTCTGTCTCGCTTGGTCACTATGATACTGTCTGAAGAAAGGGAAGCATTGTTTAAAACATTTTAGGAATCATGTTAATAGGCTGTTTTTGTGAAATTTGCAAGATTATTTTTGATTGAAATCTTTTTATATCTTGTTTTCCCCCCAGTGTATTATTTTTAAACAAGTGTTCCAAAACACAAGCTGTATCAGTGATTGTTTTAATTAAACGTTTTTTCATTTATAATTTCCCTGCAGTTGGGCATTTAAGGAGACTCCCCGACATTGCGTCCAATGTGGGGAAACCACCAGTACATGGGGTACAGCAGGGACTGGCAGCTCTGCTCTTAGGCGTAGAAGTCAAGTCACACTGTCTCTGAAAGCTTTCTTTGAAACTAATTGATAACTTTTATACACGTTCCTAGCAACAACTTGGATTTTTTTTGTCATAATGTTTATTAAAAAATAATTGCCTTTAAATTGTCTCTTTTTGTTCTTTATTCTTTGACCTAACAAGTGGAAGTTGCCCGTTGGTATTTTCAACCACAGTGGTTAAAATGTGTGTGTGTGTGTGTGTGTGTGTGTTTCCTGGCCGTGTATTTTATTCTGAGATGCTGGGAGCCCTGTGCTGCTGATGACTGGTTATCCTGAGCCCCTGCTGACTGTCCCATCCCTCCCTGCCTGCCCCTGGTGCTGTAGCCACACTGCCAGTTCCCAGCCCACACTGTGGGCAGGAGCAACTGTGGTTAGCGGGCTGACTTCTGCCACTGTGGTGAACCCTAAGTTTCTTAGGATCTTGCTGTACATCTCCAGTCCCCAGAGAGAGCGTTCAATTGGCTGATCCCAGGATCCTGACGCTTGTGGTTCCTTAGGAAGGGGGTGGAAGATTTTGGCTTTTGTTTGGGTAGGGAGGCACTCCTGATGAAGACATCACACAACAAAGATGAGGCAGTTTTCTCAAAGCCAATCAGGATGCTACCACATCTTTCACTCCTCTGCTCTGCAGCAGAACATCCTTGGTGGCATTCTCTGTCCCTGGGAATGAATGCGGGAGGGACAGAGAGGGGTCGGCGACCTTGCTCTTCTGCTCTTCCAAACATTTTTCTGTTGCCTTCACTCGAACAAGGTTGCCAACAGGGAAGCTGGCTGGGAATGTTTTTAACTGTTTTCTGTTTCAGTATTGCCACACAGGGCATGTAGGCTACACTCCCTGCGGTCCCAACACCCTATTTTCACACGCCTGGCTTGGTCCCTTTGTTATCCTCTTTCCCAGACTTATTTTATCTGCCTGATTGCTATGTACACCTTTGCACGGGTAACCACTGCTGCAATTTCTCCCCTCTCCAATTTTAGCACCCCTTCTTCAAGGTTTTTAAGAGGATGTGTGATGAGATTAGGTGACAGGTCATTTTTTCAGCCCCAGAAACTTTGATATATTTTAATGCACCAAATTTTGGGGCTTTTCATATAATGAAATTTATTGATCTTTTATTATTTTTCTAATTTAAGTTAAAGAGTTAGGTTACAAATATTTCCCTTGGCTTTTTTAGGTGTAGTTTTAAAGAAGTGATAGTTGTATGTATGCAGCCACAAACTCAAATGGATATTGTAACAAATATGGGCCGCTCCCATTCCCTCTGCTGTCCCTCCCCTGGTTCCCAGAGAAACCGCCTGGAGACCACCCTCCCTTCTCTGCTGTGACTGACTGACCTCCACATTTCTACGTAATAAGCTTGTAATGCTATTTTGTAGTTAGAGAATTTAGATATTGTCTGTTGACTTGTGGTAGGTGAGGAATAATGTTATTACCACGTCCCTAAACATAAACCTACTCTTTAATCTGCTAATATCACAACTTTTGGTTAAATCTATAGTCATTTAATTATTATGAATATGCAAAGACAACCAAGCCTAATCATGCCTTAAAATTATGCCTACATTATTTTCCCAGAGTTAATAATTGCCCTTATTGCTTAATTTGCTCTGTATCTTCTTGTAGTACAGTACAAAGGATTTACCATTTCAAAGTATGCAGTTTAGTGGCACTTAGTACACTCACGAGCTGTGCAACCCTCACCACTGCCTAGTTCTAGAACATCTTTATCATCCCAAAGGAAACCCTGTACCCATTAAACAGTTGTTCCCCATTCTCCTTGACCTCGCAGTACCTTCTACCACCAGCCTGCTGTCTGTATCTATGGGTTTACCTGTCGTGGATATTTCATATAAAGAGAATCTCTATTAGTAATGATTTCCAAATGCCTGAATCATCTCTGTAACACGCCTATTAATATTTTCCAATTACCCATATCAGTTTCTGTTTTTGTTTTATTTTTCCTGGAATCAGGTGCCCTTTGTCCTGTTTGCGTCAGTGAGGCTGGCTGCTCGCCAGGCCCGCTGCACCAGCACCATCCGAGGGCTTCTCTCCACCGCCCTTCTGTGCTGGAGTCTCGTGATGCCTGGATCCTGTGTCTTCCTCTTCTTTTGCTGGAGCACATCCTGCAGAAACTTCCTAAGAATGGTTGTTTTGGAGGGAATTTTTGAAAAGTCTTCTAAAAGGACTTCATCCTCACGTTGAATGGAAGATTGGATATAGGAGCTGGATGTAGAATACACTGTTTTGTTGTCTTGTTTGCACTGGAAGGGCCCACAGGTGTTTTGTGGTAGGGACATTTTGGTCGTTCATCCATTTGGAATTTGGGAATGTGTTATGATTTGATCTAGATTAATTTCTCCCTCAAATATTTAATAATTCTCCCCCCTCCAAATTTCACTAATGAATTTTCCTTTCCCCACTGATGCCTTTTACAACACACCACATGCTAAGGACACCAGGGTCTGTCTTTAGGTTGTGTATTCTGTGTGTGTGTGTGTACATGCAGACACATATTGGGTTGACTTAATTTTTGTAGCCTTTTAAATTTTCTTGATTAAATTTAAGTTGTTTTAGAGTACTACATATGTTATCTATGTGACCTTCAGAAAGTAACCTGACCTTTTTGAACTTCCATTTTCTTACCTGTGATATGGGGCTGCAGCAGTTTGCCTTGTAAGCTGCAGATACCAGTCTGCCTCTAGCAGAAATCGGAGAGCACGCTGTTGGACTCACGTTGCTCCCCCACATCCATCCAGTCTCTCCTGCTGCACACCCTTTGGGGCTGACCTCCGTGAACTGCTTCACCTGGTCTTTCCTTGTATCCTGGCTTTTGATTGGCCAGTGGTAGACAATCAGAACAGACAGAGGTCAGGATATTCATTTCCCCACCCCTCCCTGCCAGCCCTGGGTAGTGATCGTGAATGGTTTTATTCCTTTTCTACTACCATGGGCCCTGTCAGGTGTCCCCTTTGCTGTGGACACAGGGGATTCTGCCAGCGCTTTCCTTGTCCTGCCCTTCAGTCTGCAAGTGCCAGTGGGTTCTGTCAGCACTCCCCGGGGGTCGTCACCTTCCCTCCTTGATTCCTGTCCTCCAGGAGGCTAGCTAACAGGAGGCAGCAATCAGCTGTCTTGTCAGAACACCACTGCCAGTATGAGTGAACTTTAACCAGTTTTAGGCTTTTTGTTTCTTTACTCAACATTAAAATTTTGAGGCCCCGCCTCAATCAGTGGATTGAGCATGAGCTGCGAACCAAAGTGTCGCAGGTTCGATTCCCAGTCAGGGCACATGCCTGGGTTGCAGGCCATGGCCCCCAGCAACCGCACATTGATGTTTCTCTCTTTCTCTCTCTTTCTCCCTCCCTTCCCTCTCTAAAAATAAATAAAATCTTAAAAAAAAAATTGAAACAGCAGGCAATTGACCTGGCATGGGTCTTTTACATGTGAGGTAGTTACCTGGCCCTTGGCCAGGTGAGAGCAGGACCGCCTGACTAATGGTCCTAATGTTCACGTCAGGGGAAGAGAATTCCTTTGCTTGGGAAGTCAGAGTGATATAGGAAGGAACTATGGATGCTGGCCTGCGGAGACACTGCGTTGCCACTGTATGGGGTGGTGATGATGATGATGCTGTTCGTCCCGCACAGCTGTAAAGATTACAGACAGAAATGATAAAAATAGCAGTGTACACGGTCAGGGCTCAGTCAGTAGTGACTATGATATTATGGTGTTTTACATATTTTTCTAAATGAGTTTAATAGTATTTTTCAGGTTTTTGAAAAGTTCTTTGGTATTTTTATTGGAATCACCTTAAATTTATAAATAAATTAGAAAAGAACTAACTTATAGTGCTTAGCTATTTTAATATAATTATATGGTATGTTTGTTTTGTTCACATATTTATAATTTCTTGAAAGATTTTATAATTTTCTGTAATGTCTTAACTTTGAAGTTTATTTCTATATATTTTATGATTTGAATAACTAAATGGGATTTCCCTCTACATGTAAGCTGGTTAAGAACCCATTTACTTTCCCGAGGTATGTTAGGTTAGGAAATAAAAATAAGGATCATGCAACTACTTGGCTATTGGCTAGTTGAATGTCTTTTCACACTGGTTAAACCCCATGGTTCTAGAAATGTGTCCAGGAATCAGATATTATCAAATTGCCTTTATGGTGTTGACCTGTAGGTGGCACTGCTGGTCAGAGTAACCAACTCTGGTACTCTGGTTTGGTAGAGAAATGTTCTGTGTTGGCTCTACTGTCTAGGAGGTCACCAGGGAAAAGGTTTCCTATTCAGATAGATGTGCTAACCTCTGCGCAGTGCTCTTATGAGCTGCTTTACATTCCAGCACCTTTAGTGATCTGCTTTCCTCTCTCCCGTGTGATAACCACACAGATCACCTGAGCTTCAGTTGATTATTCTTCTTGGGTAAAACATAAGCCCCCAAATGTTAAAGAGATAAAACAATGTTTGGATTTAAGTGCAGATTAGTGTCTTTCCTTTTAAATTAAGGAACATACATTTTATTTTTCACTTATTCCCCTGGGGATATATTACTTGTTTTACTTACACTTATGTGATACTATGTTCCATGCACTTTTCAAAACAACAAATATAAGCCCATTTCATACTCAGCAACTCACCAAGGTAGGTGATATTACCATCCTCATTCTGTCCATGAGGAAACTGAGGTACAGAGAGATTAAGTAACTTTCCCTGAGTTACACAGCTGATAAACAATGGGGCTGAAATTGGAACCCAAGCAAATGTGGCTCCAGAGTTAGTGACATGAATCACCTGAAATCTGAATTCTTATACAATGTCCTCTTTTTTAAAAAAATTATATTTTTTCCATTACAGTTTAGTCCCCTAATAATGCCCCCCCCCCAGCAATCACCACACTCTTGTCCACGTCCATGAGTCCTTTTTCCTTTTTGCTCAATCCCTGTACTCCCTGCCTCCCCCACCCTTAGCTGTCATCCTGCTCTCTATCTATGAGTCTGACTCTATTTTGTGTGTTAGTTCAATTCATTAGATTCCATACATGAGTGAAGTCATATGGTATTTGTCTTTCTTGGACTGGCTTGTTTCACTTATAATGCTC